ATCAGGCTTTACTCTAATATACAGTAATATTTATATGCACATACGAAATTAATAAACGAAATTATAAACTACCTTGATTGGTTTAATAATTTCGTATATGCATATAAATATTACTGTATATTAGAGGAAAGCCTGATGAGGATCTAATCGAAAACAATATTGTTCGCTTATATATGTTGTTCCAAATGTGATTTGTTGCTTTTATGGTATGGTTAACGTATCTCTACTAGCTAACTAGAACTGTTTTCAGTTTTTGAGTCATTGCACACCAAGACTAGAACACAGATAACTTAACTCCTCATTTATCGGTCAACTAATCTATTGAAGATGTTAACAAAATCCCTGATACACGCAATCGTGCACCATCAACTAATCGAACGCTTCTAACACCTTAAGTTAGATTCAATTGGCTACTTCAATTTTCCCGGTGTAAAGCTAATCTAGTTACATTGCATTTATAGTAAAGGTCCGAAAATTTACTGGCTTTTGGGAGATTTAATATTCTATATTAAATCGTAGTGTTTTGGCTAGCTAAGATTAGCTTGGAGTTTCGGATCCATATTGGTTATGTCAGCTGATATTATACACTTTTATTGCTTTAACTTTCTGATGACTGCTGTTACATATGGATATTTGAAAGTGAATTTCTTGACATTACTTTCACAATAAATAACGTGTATAATACAGTAGTTTTTTAAATCAAATTTTGGGTACCTTATGTTCGCCCATATCTAAATCGTAAGTTTATTTTCTGTAGTTTAGCTACTAGTTGTTCTATTGTTTTCGTGTCGATTCCAGAGGTCATAACAACCTTTATAACACTTAATTTTATATCCTTTCTATTGTTTTTCGTGATTTTCCTTGTAATTAACAACCAGGATGTAGTATAGCTAATGTTTTAGTTAATTGTCCAGCTCACAAATCCAAAGCAGTATATTTTACTTACGTGTGGATGGTAAGATCTATTCCTATCAATTTGTAAGCGAGCATAGTAAGTTTCTATTTAGTTATTTTGGCTTTCTTAAGAAAGGAATACTTTTTGTAACTGAAGTCGCTAACAAAAGTTCCCTATATTATACATATTGTACGGCTAAGTAGTGTGTAACAGGTTTTTGTTTCTGACACTAGTTCATATAAGAGGTAGGTTTTAGGTCCAAATTACACTCCACTTAAATTGATTTTAATGACCGGGCAGTATCACTAGCCTTTATACAAAAGTGTGACCCCAAGTTGAATGATATTTCCCAGCTATTTAAATGTGTGTTGTTTTTAATATATCGTATTTATGAGTTGGAAAAGTAGTCAAATCGTTCTATTCTTTAGTTTCTATAGTTCTTGATAGGTAATTTAATACTTTTCAACAACTAAGTTATGATAATCTTACGTTGTCAGTTATCACTTCTCGGAAAGCTACTACTTTAAGACCATTGACCAAACAACAAGTTTGGACTATTATTAACCCATTTAGCACGTACCTGGCTCCAAACAACACTGTGAATGCAATGATTAGTGATACTACCTGGTCGCCCAAACCGAAGTAGTTGGGGCGGAGTCCAATCTGGTTACGCAGTGGCTGAAGGCAAAATATGTTTAACCACAAAGCCTTCGCTCCACCAGTAAACAATATATAATGAGGTTTCATATGATATCCACTTTGTTGCTGTTTATAACTTCTTGACAGTTCATTGTTTTTTCAACATACTGAATAGCTTCTTAAAACTCTATTATTTTAAGTCACTCCTGCTTTGAAGCGAGTTTTTCTCGTGTGCATTGTTTTTTATCCTAATTCGCTGTAAGCATCGCTTATTTTCTTCCTAGGATACTAGCTTTACATGAGCAAGATTTATTGTGAATTATTTGCCAACAAGATAACATAAACTCCAATCATTTATGAAGAAGTTTGTTGTGTCTGCTCCTGCGAAAGCTATATTATTTGGTGAGCATGCTGTTGTATACGGTTATCCAGCTATCGCTGCTACAATTGACTTACGGTGTTATTTTACAGTTACCATTAAGAATGAAGCTTGTGAAGATATTATTATAGATTTTAAAGATTTATCAGAAAATAGCATTCATATTCCAATCAAAATGCTTCATTCTATTTCAAATAAAGAATCTGTTATGGATTACGCATGGAAATTAGTGTCAGATCTTTTTGATTGTGCTTATCATGACTCTCTTCATGATTCACCTATCATTGTTAGCACATGTGTCATAGTATATCTGTTTATTCGTGCTACACAACTACGAAGCGATGAGTGTAGCAATCAACAATTCCCAATGTTTAGTGGAAAAAATACCATATGTATAGAAATTCAGTCAGATATGCCTAGTGGATGTGGCCTAGGATCATCAGGTGCATTTTCAGTCGCTGCTACTGCTACCATTCTGTTATTAACTAACAATTATCCACTTGTACAAGTTTGGGACATTGATAAGATTCAACGTAAATTAATATCTTCTTTGGCTAGAGACGCCGAATGCATCATTCATGGAAAATCTTCAGGATTAGATAGTACGATATGCACATATGGAGGTACTATAGTTTTTCGGAAAGACCAACTTCCTTTATTTCAGGAAATTAACATTTCAAATTTCGATACTGTCAAATTACTCATAGTCAATACTAACATTACTCGTTCCACATCTCTCGCTGTACGGAAGGTTTATGATAAGTGGAAGGAAGATAAAACGTGTGTGAATTCTATTTTCAAAGAAATAGGTATCATCGTGGACGAAGTAATTGATATTTTGAATCAGAAAGATAACTGTGAAATTAGTCGATCTCTTACTCGTCATATTGTTAGAAATCAACATTTGCTTGAAGAATTGGGAGTGTCACATTCTATTTCAAACGAAATTATTGAAGAATTAAAACTAGTTGGTATTCCAGCGAAAGTCACTGGAGCAGGTTTCGGGGGTTGTGTACTTGGATTTATTCTAGGGGTAGATTATGATAATTCAGAGCTTAATGATCTTATCAGCAGGTGGCATACACGTTCTTTATGGGCTCAAGTTACTTCTATTGAAGCTACTGGTGTGAAATATAACTCTCATTTTTTATAAATCCTTGTTCTTCATGAACATCTCAAAAGTAAAATTACTTAATCAGCAGTGGAGAGATTGATAGTCTGATTTGAAAAATGTATCCATTAGTTATGGATATTTACAGATGTTCGTAGTGTATATTGAGTAAATAACCTTGTCAGTTATGTATTTATCAATTATCCATATGCTTTGCCGCAGTACATTCAAAATATCGATGTAGTTCATTTTTAAGTTCAGCACAAACAAGGTGTTGAAGTAGTTCTATGCCGGGTAATACTATTTTTAGTCTAATTATTCGGACTATGTTGATTGTGTTAAGTTAGGTTTATTGGTAATTATATTGGATATGTACAACTGCTAGGTTGATTGTAGTTGTTACGACTTTCTTCTGGACATACTTCAACTAATTACGAGTCCTCTAACAAGCCTACTGCATACGACAGTCAATCGCTAGCCTACTCAATATCACATTGTGGTGTGAAAAATTGGGTTTTCACCAAGTAGGTAGGCTCTTTGAATTCATTGAGTTCAATGCCCTGGTGACATAGAAAAGTGTCAATACACTAAGTAACAGGTTCTCAGTACTTTCTGTCTAATTTTTGGCACCCCAATCACAATCGGTCCGTAACGGAAGTCTCTAATCAACCACTGAGACCATATGATGGGTGAAAAAAGTTATTCCGGAACAAATTTACCACAGCTTTCTTTCCAGCAAACCTAAACAGCTAATGACGAGGTTTTTTCGTATTAAATGTGTAAAACTGGTCACGTGTTTGTTGGTTATTACAGACTTATAATATACGCGTACTCAGTCACCATGTGGGTCATACGAAAAACACATGACTGTCGGAAACCTTACAAACCGCATTTTGTTTATTGTTTTAGCTTAAAACAGCTTGTAAATGTCTGTGGGATAGTCGCTGAGCTTACAGCTTTCATCAACATGCAGACATTGTTGCAATTTGTTGGGTTTTACTACAAGATTCTTACATTTTTGTCATATATTCTTATTCACAAGAGGTGATTGCCAAATTGATGACAGTGTATCACGGGGTAGTACAAACAATACAACTTGCCAGTTGAAAAAGGTTTAACAAGCAGTGAAAAAAGTTCCAGCGCAAGATTATACCAATAAAGAGAATAAAGACAGTTTGAGTGAAGAGAATTTCCTTTCCAACGACGTCAATTACTAGAGCTATGCAGTCGTACTTATAGTTATATTTTACACACAGCAGTCCATAATAAAGTGAGGAATTGTTGCTTCACTAATAGATGTGATAAAAGCTAGTCAAAATCTGAACCCACGTCAAAGGGAAATAAGAATGTAAATAATAAATGAAAGTGGGTGCGCACTGCTGAGTCCCATATTAGGATGAAACAGCCATCCAATGTTTCCAGGTTTTCCTTGGTGATCTAGTTTAAATACTCATGGATTCAGTTGTCAAATAGAAGTGAGTTATACAGGTTTGTTAATTTGATAACTATAAGGAGTATGGATGAAACACGTCAAAAATAACTAAAAATAATTAACATTCACGATCTTTGAAGTACACTCAAAAAGTAGCACATCTACAATCTAGGATATTATTAAGATCATACGCCGATCTAAACTAAACAAACATCAAGAACATGAAACCACTGGATGCCCGTTTCGTCCTTGTATTGGACATCTTACTGATGTGCATCTACGACTCCACCATCGAGGATCGAATCCGGTACCTTCAGTCTCGCGCGCGAACCCTTACTCTTTAGACGGCTGAGCCAGGATCTTATGATGTACGAGGCTAATACCAATCAATTCACGATAGTACTCGATCGTCTAGGATATCATTTATTTAACGAGACCAGGTAAACCAATTTCTAAACTCTGAGTTTAAGATAAATGGTATTGTATGTCTTATTTTTATCACTTATATGAAGGTTGACAATGTAATAATCATAACTTTGCAACTGATCAATCCAATAACACCAACTTATACTCGTTTTGTTGAAGAGTGAAAATAAAAATAGCGTCTAGTCATAACACCATCCATTTGACTGGTCAGCTGAGTTTTGCACATAACACATAAACACATCTGTTTAATTCAGAAAAAAAACTGTGGGAACGAAATTTGAAGATATTTCAAGTGTGATTTACAAATGAATTGACCAATTAAATTTTCCTTATATTCTCTATCTAATGAAGAAGTACTTGAAAAGTGAAAATTAAAAGGAAAAAACCGCCAGATCTGACGAAATAAATAAAAATAATTGCCTGAGACAATCTTTAAGATGAATAATAACAATGAACATAGGGTTAAAATGCAATTGTAGAGAAGACCAACTAAAAGTAACTTTCTTTGAGATTAATTTGAAAGAAAAAGTCCAGAATTTCTGTGATTATAGATTTAGTAATATACAATAAATAGGTATGTGCAATATGCGTATTATGATTTTCTATGATCAATATCAAGTAATAATTCAGCGGCTATACCAGGAGCGATTTCTCGGTTGAATAGTAATGTTTCGATTTCTTTTTGTTTCTCTAGAATAAGTGGACTGTTTTTAAATCTACGCCAAATCTCCTCTTTAACAAATGTCCACATCCATATCTAATGTAAGAAAATATAGAGAAACAATATAATGTCGGATTACCGGCGACGTTTTTTAGTGTTCAATATACGTGTTGTGTTGGAATTTCTTAGTCATTTTTCTATTTGTTTAATGCAAAATGCGAAATCCTTGCCGCCGATTTCATTACAAGATCTAGATTTCGCTATATTTGTGTATGGGTTAAAGTGTGCATAAGTCTAGAGAAATGAAATGGAATTTTCAATGAAAATTATGCTACAATACACATCACTCACCTACTAAATAAAGAGGAAAAATTACGGAAATGCTGGATAAAACACCATTATTGGAACATCAAAAACGTTAACGAGAACACTGTTCCACTTATCTGTAGTCTTGTGCAGCTTAAATATGCTAATTTGTCTGAGTAAATTTTTTTCTTTCCTAAGGTATTCATTAATAGGATGCAAATTATCTATCACTGACAATGAACTCACACTTATAGCTTTCACAGTGATGTTGATATGATGGAAAGAAAAGTCAATTATTGATTGAATTACTCATTATGAGTTTTATTCGACATTACATTCGTTTTGATTCAACGTAAGGATCATTCAGTGAAGTATTTGATTTGTTTTCCCAGTATGATATTTTCTGTATAATATACGATGTTCTTGTATTCAGTTGACATGAACTATGCTAAGTAAGTGACTTGTTATAACTAATTATTAATCAAAATGGGTGTACCATCAAGATATAAACCAGTGTATTTTAGACTATTGTGATTCATTATTATTTGTATCATCATCGTCGTAGTGTTTTGGGGCTAATAAATCTTCACTTATACCAGTCTTTGTGTTCTTACTTTTGCATCGTGGGAATTGCAGAGGTCCCTCGTTCAGAGTATAAGTGATCAGCGTTTTTCCGGCACAGCAATCAACGACGACCAAATATAACAGATGTTCAAGCATTCTGATATAACGGAGAATAACCACATAATTTTCATTGACAACTGATTAACTGAGTAGTTAACGACACACTATGTAAGTAGCCCTGATTTATTTGAAATAAGTACAGGCTAATTAACATAGGAATTAAAAATCAAAGATTTTATACTACACAGTTTATAGGTTTAGTGGTTAAAAAGTACGACTTTCGAACACTAATTCTCAGATTAGAATCCCCACTGTGTGTACGTTGGTTTGGACAAGCAGATAGCAACACTAATTCTCACAATAAGGGTGCGCCTCATATTCAATCACCCAGTGAATTAGTTTATTTTATTCGATAATAGTTTAAAGGATTCGTTTATCTACTTTATAAACATATGCTAGTCCAGTAATCGGATTATATAAACGAAAATCCAACTAGTGGGCAAAAACATGTTCTTCTTTACAACTATTTAGTATTATTTGGCAGAAAAAGATTTCGAACTGTCAAATTAATAATATAGTATGGGTTCGAACTCCATACTGTTGTCCTTATTATTGGATATCCAAGCAACTACTTGCAATATATCATTCTAGAAGCTTCAATCACAAAATATTTGGACACTAGCAGAACTTGGGTTACAAAACAACCGAACTGATCATTTAGAGGGTTAGGTTTCACTTTCAAATGCAATCAGCATCAAACAATCGCACAGTGTACTTTTACCACATATCTTTTTAAGCAGATTGAGTTCCTATTTGCAGTCATTTATAATAAAAATTAAACGTTAGTAGTAAGGGTTTATAGTCTATTCCGATGTTGATAATAAGGATTGAAAATTTGACCAATCCTTGCTGGGATATACGCATACTATGCAGACTGTCTTGATATAGCCAATATTTCATAAGTTATTTAAAATAGCATTTCGAGCTATGCTATGCTAGAAATGCTCTCACACAGCCACACGTATACAGCCTCTGCCAGGGAAGTCCTACTCACTGCCTTCTCGTGGCGGGGGTGTTGTCTACGAAAATGAGAGGACGAAAAGCGAATGTCCGGAGCTTTAACGGGATCCCAAACCAATGGTGCACATGGGCTCCAGTATCCTGCGGGAACAAATGGCGTATGAACCAATCGTTGGTCACCGGCTACCATGGGACTGCATCTTCTCACAATGCTCCACTGCCTTGTGGATCAGACCTTTAGGTCAAAGGCTCCGGGTGTGGCCCCCTGAGAAAACAACCTACTTCGGTCTGGGCACCTTGGCAATATCACAGTCCACACACACACAAATATGGTGTGGCGCATATATAATTGGTGCCCTCTTGTATCAATATTTATGTGTTGAAATAAATAAATAATCTAAAATAGATTGGTTAAGGGTAACGGTGGAATTCCGGTGCGAACATCAACATTGTGATTGAACATCCGGCTGATGAGTCCCAAGTAAGATGAAACGCATATCCTAGATTCTACTGCAAAACCCAATCCATCTATTCTAAATCAAATAATGATTTGAATTGAATATAAGTTCACAAAAACATTATCTCCAATAGCTGGTTTATCAAAGATATATGATTAAATTGGTTCACAACTGTAAATAGTAATTTCCTACATATGCAATTATAAACTATTCCCCAGACCATTGAGTCTCAGCTTATCGAAAGTCATAACAATTAAGCTATTTGACTTGATAAATTTTATCCATTTCTAAAATGAAAAATGAGTCAACAAACCTAATAATGTTTACGACAAACATAAGAATTATGATTGGTAAATAAACAAATAAAGAAATTCGATGGTGTCAAATCGGAAATTTTTTTAGCATACATTAAATACAGAAGTTCGAAAGAAATTTAAATCAGCATACATGTGCAAATAAACTATAAATTTTCAAAGTTAATTTTGAGTAGTTCCAAAGTATTTCTCAGAAAAGCCCATAAGAGCCCCTCCTCCCCAAAGTTTTATCCAATCAGTATTAGACAGACATCTAGAGATTGAAGTCACGTCCCTAACTGGACATTAACCTATACTGCTACTATATTTAGTACGGGTCCAGAAATTTTCAGCAGCCTCTCGTTTTGCTGTGTATCAATCAACCTCGGAGTAAAGCGTTCATTTTGCTCTTTGCGCCTTTTCTCTTGTGTTCAAGTTGTGTATATGTAGCCTGATGGTTATTAAATGCGCCTATGACGTCGGATCAAGCAATCGTTTATCAAACTTATCAGTATCAATTTATTCATTTCAAGATACTTTAATTAAGTATTTGGTGATACTCTCCTATCACGAAATGATATTTTTGTTGGAGAAAAAAATAATATCAATGTATATACAATAAGTCAACAGTATACTTCATTGAATTAACTAGAATGATTTAAGACGATTCTGTAGTAAGTTATAAAAAAGTGACAATAAAATAATATCATTTAACCAATTTAAGATTATTTATGTGCAAATTGGTAGATAAATGAGTGGTATTTCCAACCTGAACATTCTAATAAGGAGACTGCAGGTCCAAATACTTTAATTCAGTATGATTAATGAGGCCAGGTAGTAGGAGTTTAGTGGTCATATATATGACTCCAGTTTGATCGTATAAATGACTGTTATTAAAATATACATGTCGCCGATCCTCGTATATAACGATCGACTTAAATCACGTTGGTGAATAACGGAATTATATAAGTCGGATACGAGAATGTATTTCGAATACGTGTATTTCATACAATCTTTGATCTGAACAGACAACCAAGAAAATGAAGCGAAGATGAGAGAGAAGCAAAACGGATAGGAGTAGGTATGTGAGCCAACTCCATTTAACCAAGCGTGAATCGATATTTATAGTCAAACAAAAATAAGCCACTGACATATGATGAATAAGATAAGAAATGCACACACGCTTACATAAAAACACTCAAGGTTGATAAGCAAATAATCAACAAGGGAAAAATGTAGCTTGAGAAGAATGGATAAATTGGTTATTCCAGAAGCTAGAATAGACTATGTGAACATGACATTGCACCAGTCACTACAAGAGTATTAAGCTTTCATATTTAAATTGTACCTCGGTGATAAGTACACTGATTTGAGTTACATGAACTAATTATTTAAGGTAAAGAAAAAACAGAGCAGAAAATAATATAGAAAAAAAACGTTGAAAACCTAAATTTAATTGAATTAACTCACTCTCAATTGTTCTTTTCGTATTCTCTGTAATTCACCTGATTTAATTAGTGATTGGTGAAATTTAAAAGCTGTAGACCAAAATTCAATAAGTCCATCACCTGTTAGACTGGATACAAGTTGTACCTTATTTGGTTTTATATAAGTATGAAAAAAAAACAATTGTGAAGAATTATTATTCAGTTAACTTATATTAATACTTACTGAAGATAAAATAGATTTGAAGTTAGTTTTAAACGTGGCTAACATCAACAAAGAAATCATTTAAAAATCAGAAAGTTACTTTACAGTTAAGTTCTATTTCGAGATTATTTCTCAGTAGTGCACATAAATACAACACTAATCGGTAATATCGGTATAATATTTTGAAAGTGAAACTTACACCACATATGGTATTGGGTGCTGGAAATGCAGACCATTAGATTTTTAACTCATTTATCAAAAAAGTATCACACTCACAGCGATACCTGGAATTCCTGGGTACAATCAAGCATGAAATTAGTGGTGTATAACACTAAGAAGTTCTAAACGAAGGTAAAGCATTTTTTCAATACGTCCTGGTAACAAGTACTTATCTAGATAATACTAGTTAGTGGTGAAAACCGACTTAATGTCGAACAATCCTTACGCTTCAGTTCTTTTCTCAGATCAGTGATACGAACAGTTAATTCTTTATTACTTATTAGAATAAGAATACTGTAAGACGAATTAACAGATGTATATATGTGCCTGGTCTTACGTTGTAGCTGATCGAATTAACAGATAGAATTTTATGTTATGTTTTTCGAATGTCATTATCCTCAAACCTATTTGATCATAAATCAACTTTAAACTTCAAGTATATGACAAAACTGCTGAATGAATAAACATGTTTCACAGGGTTTATCGGTCAATCAGTTGCAGCGTAGAACCTAGCACGTGTGTATATCGATCAAACTTGCCACACCCCATTTGGCACACCGAAACGAAAATGTCAGGCCAACTCCCACAGTAGCAGATGTATTTACAGTATCAGTGATGATAGAGATTAGGCATCGAAGACGCAATTGAGGAAGATATAGATTAGTGAAATAAAAACAATTATGAGGAATTAAGAAGCTCAGGACTTTAGGAAAGCGATTTTGAGCTACGTCATTAAAAGTCTGGAAACACTGGTTACGATAATGAAATGGACCCCAACCAGGTAGTCTGAACCTATTAACATGTCTCAGTATATTTGTTAATGATTTCATGGACTAATGCCATGGTTTGACCGCCCTTAGCCTTCTTTCAGCCTACTCCTACACAGTTTACAAATAACAATGAATTTCTTGAAATATCCTAAAAATGAAAACATTTTATGTAATATAAATAACAGTAAATTAGTGTAGAACTACTAAAGATTTAACTGTTGAGCCGTTCGGATATTATGGTATTCAGGTGATTCATGTACATGTACCAATATTGAGATGTATTTTTTTCGTAAATATTCAAGACTATACAGATAATTAAATGTATTCGGCAATTTAAAAACTGATTACTTGTTTGAATAAATAACTTCTGACAGAGAAAAGTCGTTTTTTAACGAACACAGATTTTTTTAATCAAGATTCATGAAAAGAGAAATGCACTGCTTCATATTTTAAAAAAATTCGCTCCGATAAAACAAGCAATTGTCTGTCGTCAAGTAGTGAAAATTTAGTGTTTACAACTTAATGACTTTTAATTCTTGTAATGAAATGCCGTTGAGCATATTAGGATTAATGAGTTAAATATTCAGATCACTGAATCCCAACTAATGACCAATCGCTATAGAGTGGATGCTAATTATTTCGCACGGGTCAAGACTTTGAAATATTTAGTGAATCTAAATTACTTCCTATTTTAAATTCTTGTACTTCATAAGTTAAATAAAGTAACTGGTTTACTTTCGGAATCCAATTAGGTCTTCGACAACGCATATATTTGAGAGCGTTCGAATATTCTTTAGCAATAAGACGAGCTTGATGCAATAGTTCACCATCTGCTTTATTCACTAGAACCAGATCAGCAACTTCAACAATCCCTCGTTTTATGCCTTGTAATTCATCACCTCCAGCAGGAGGAATAATCAAGACAAACATATCAACCATATCTGCAGCAGCGAACTCTAACTGTCCAACACCTGTAATCATAAGGGGACAAATTATGTTCAAACAATTAGGCGATGTACGTAAAAATTTCCGAATTTTATGAAGATATAAATTTCTAAAGGGAATTTTCAATTAGGATTCAGTTGTAGAAATTCCATACGATAGACTTCATTACAGATGTTAGGCTGCATAACTCAGAAGTAAAACTATATACCTAAAAGAACAACTTTCATCACGTAGTGACAAGAATTACAGGCTTGATCAAATCTAGCAATTACTGGACAGCTATTTATGTGGAACAGATGCTAACGAACATATCTTAAATTTTAACTAATGAAGCATATAAGCAAAATTCACAGGAGGACTGCCCTGTAAGGAACTGCATCCGGTCGAAAAACCACAACTACGTTGACGCATCAGGGGCACTGCAGTTGTTTTTTAAGAAAGTACTTTGTAAATCATTATACTGAAAATCAAAATAAATGTAACTAAACTATGAATAACATAAAGTTTTTTTCATGAGTTACATTTTAAATTAGTTATTTGTAATAAAGAATGATATGTTTAGTCATTGATACCAACGGAAGACTGTCGATCAAATTACAATGGGACTGTTACTCAATGACGAATCAGCCGAGCTAATTCAGTCCCACAGATCGGTCGTAGCTTAGTGGAAACATCTCCACGTAATGTTGGGTGATGCAAGTTCGGACCTCACAGAGGGTAACAATCCCCTCAAAACTGAAGATACACCGTGATTATGAGCTCTAATCAGCAAGTAACTTAGGTTCAGGAATCCCCATATATGCCTCAAACCTCATGACATCAAATTAGTTCATTCATTTCCAAACATATTCCATATGAAATTGGAAGAAAATTACGTCTAATGGCAGTGGTGAATAATACGTGGAGATCACAATCATCGCTATCGATTTATTAATGCAAAAATTTTCACGAAATTGTCTGTCTTTAAACATAGTTTAACTTGACCAAACCTTGTAAATTAATTTTTTCATTGACGAACACTCCATTTATTAACATACCCGAACTACGTAGCTCACTTTGAAGACATACTGATCTCTTTTAAAATTAAATTGATGTAAACCAATATATCACCCCTACATTTCGATTTATTAACATCTTGAATCTATTCACAATTCTAAAAGAAAAAACAAGAAATATGAAATTACAAAATTCAAACACGAACATACCAACAGTTTCTACGAGGACAGTTTCAAATCCTGCAGCTTCACATAATAGGATGGATTCACTAGTTGCACGAGCAACACCACCTAAATTTCCACCACTAGGGGATGGTCGTATGTAGGCATTCATATTACTGGACAGTTCAGGCATTCGAGTTTTATCGGCCAAGAGACTACCACCAGTTGTATGTGAAGAAGGATCTATTGCTAAGACAGCTACACGATGAAGTTTTCTGATTTCTTGATTGAAATGTTCTTCGTCTAGTGTCAACCGCTGCTTACCATAAGATTTATAAGAAGTATTAATTACAGGATTCCATGGTTTACTACCTGTAAGGCGACCACCAAATGCTTCAATAAATGTACTTTTCCCAGCACCTGGTGGGCCAGAGAGACCTTGAAAGGGAATCAATAATATTAGATAAATTTCACTAAAAAAAGTAGAAATCAGTGCATTTTTTTGCACAATTTAGTCAATCCATAGACTTCCAAGATATAGTTTGTATGTTCTGACCCTGCATCCTCTATTTCGATTTAAGTAGCCGGGAAGTATCGCTAGAATATTTACGAAGAGTGTGACTCTAAGCCTACTACATTTAACATGTACTTTATAAATCAGTTGGATTATGATTAGTTAACTAATTATTACGCACCATATGACTTGAGATAACGTTACTTAACAAAAGGCTCGTGATGTGAACAGAGAAAAAAAAAGTTATGACAAGCAGCGGAAGCTATTTTGAGGGACGTTATATCAATCAATTCAAACCTTCTAAAACTAACATTTAATTTTGTCCGTAGTTTATTCTGAAAACCATAATCTTTCTTTTGATGTATGATTCACTGACAAACCCTTTTTAATCACAAAGTTATTGTGATTTAAATGTAACTTTGGCTACTCTATTTTTCTACCCTAATCCCCAGTTATAAACAGGACAGTATTTTTCGAATTGTTTGTACATTGTGGTCATGTTAATTATCTATTTATTCATGCATCTTTTTCTGCTAATTTGGATCGGAGTGTGAGTCGGAATTAGGAATAAATCAAGTAGTTTCAGTTGACTCGTCTCCTATCTCTCTCTCTCTAGCTTGTCAACCAATCAACCGAGAGAGCAGTTTTCGTCTCTCTACTCAAGGCAGTTAGTCTAACTTCGAACTCATGCGATTCTAGCCTCAAGGTTGAACCAGTAAACTTATCTTGTCAAGGTCTAAACCTAAATTGAGACAAGTTATCTTCTGCATATTAGTGGGTAGATATATCAAGGATGTAACAGTTCATAAAGCGTAAGTTTAATAGATAAAGTACAGATACTGATAATCAATATGAGACAACGATTGCAGAGAAGGTCAACTTGAACTTATGTCGCAAACAATGTTTTCTATAAGTCATGCCTTTAGAAGTTTCATTTAATCTGTACAGTTATCGTTGCGAGCAGGTTAACAAACAATTAAATACGAGTAGATTCTTTTTTATTAGTCGATGCCGTAAAAACCTACTAAAACCAACGTATGAAGGACCTTATAGTGACAGAGAGCGTTGAAAAATACTTCATAAGCACAGATAGAAAGCCTCTATAGACAGACTTAAACTGGCTTTCCTCGATAGTGAGCAGGAAGGCAGCACTAAGACAGACAAGCAGTCTTTTTCTTTCGACATACAGAAAGCTTAAATTAAAAATCATGTCGCCGGAAAATCTAACTGTACAACTAGAAGTGGTGGAACAATAAATAAATACAAATATTTTGTACATTTTATTGATTAATTATTTACTTCTTTGTATAACTGTCAATTCATCTGTTCACCAACATAATGAAAGTTGATAATAGAAGTAAAAGTAATATTTGGTGATAAAGATAGGGTTTTATTACGAACGAGGCGATGTGGCATACTGTTCGAGGTATGAAGGAAATTGTTATTTCTGTTACCCAGACCGTAGAAAAATATTTCTTTAAGGGGTATCTGAAAGGGAAACTAAACCAGTGGTAGTTTTGGCAACTTGAGAGCCTGACCGTAGAGCTAAAGAGACATTTTGGACACAGGCTACATAGAAGTTTTGTGACAATTTTCTATGTGTTAGCATTGCACTTCAAAATGATCTATTGAAGAAGACAGTAATCCATTGGGTGAGATATTTTCAGAGTCGGGGATTCCGAAACTTGTCCCTCTGTTGTGAGGAGGCAGCATCGATGCAGATGCTGTTCATTAGAGAAATAACTTATTTTTGTCACAACCCTGTACACTCAGAAGTACAGCTTCTCCCGAAAACTTAAAATTCATTCGAATATATGAAAGATAATTGTCCACTTAATGGTTTGACTTCTCGTAGACTGCTTCAAAACGACATCTGAACTAGCAAGCATTGAGTTGCTCGTCGAGGAGTGATAGTTGAGCATACGAAACATGTCTTAACCACGTCAGTCAATGAAGATTTACAACTTCACCTATCGACTCACCACCTCTGTAAAGCACAGCATGCTTAACCTTAATATCGCTCACTCAGTCATTCCTGGAAACGCATTCAGTGCTTCGAGGACTGATCGTAACTGCTATTTTGAATTGGTGATCGCGCTGTCATGTCATCAAGCTATATTGACTGAAATTTTTCAGGTCCTACCGTCCCAGGAGGGTTGTCCGGGTAATAGTAAGTCTAGAAACAAAAACTTAAGGTCTGAGGGTGAAGCTGTATTGCTGAGTTTGCAAAGTTGTGACAACAATAAGTTGTTTCAATTAAATGAACATATATATTGGAGGATTTCTTGAGAGAGTAGAATTTTCAAAGTTGAAATCACGAACCGGTTTTAGCTAGACCAGCATATTTATTAGTCTGTGTGCATATTTTTGACTAACATTCAGTAATTAATGTTATATCATCAATAAGTGTGTATGTGTTGACTACAGAGTTATATATCATCGTTACTTTTTGTTAGGAATTCATATAATTAACATTTTCCCTTTTTGCTATGGTCAACAACGTACAAGTACAATAAGTTTGTGTATTAACATATATTGCATTCCATTATCCAACATGCTTATATATATATATATATATATATATATATATATATAGCTGAGAAAAGATGGTTAACTTTACTGATTTCAGTGAGACTGAACAATCTCCACAACACTATACTTATAAAGATAGGTAGTATTAACATCACTTATAAAATTTTTGTGGTTACTCACATTTTTTGTAACTTCATTAAGTTGTCCAATTGCTAATATCGACCAAAACACGTTATTTATGTCGGTATAAAACTGTCCTTGTTATTTTGATGACTATATAGATTACCGTATGATCATGCACTTGTTTCATTACGCACTCTCGTTCTCTCCTCTGTTACTGTTACATAATCAGGTTGCTAATATAATTGTTACACATTTTTCAAACAATTTCCTCCTCAACAATATTCTGGTAAATTATATATCCTAACATCTCAGTCAAATCGAATTCCTCGTGTTTGACAATCCCGTACCATAACTGGGAAATTACATCCAGACTTTATGAACACGCGGATGCTAGAAATTTAATAAGTAACCCGCTGTATTGCTATTGCATATCGAACTCCTTAGGCAATGGTCTCCTACTAGGACTCTGGAAATCTTCTCTTGAAGCTAGTCACTAGTGTGCACGTGATAATTATTAGTACGGAGTTGTGGAGATTTCTTTAAGATTACGAACAGATCTAAGTTAAAAAACCATTGAAAATATGGAGGCACTGAACAGCCTTTTTGTTCCAGTATCATATTTTGACTTTATTAATACAGTTGACTTGTTTATGCACATTCGTTTTGAGTAACTTTATAAATATTTTTGTACTTATACTTTTCGGTCCACTATATTATTACCTCTCAATCTCAAAACAAATTGCAAATGGTAAGTAGTATATTGTTTAAGAATGACATTCAGTGTATATAACATTGAAATTTCATAGGATATTAAGTAGGTTAGTTTCACTTGGTAACAGACGTTAGTAGTTGACCACCTTAAGTCACTGAGTAATAATGATAGTAACACAATAAAAACTCAAAACATTATTTTTTATTAAAAAGCAGCTAAATTAGTTAGGAAGTTGGAAATATTTTGGTCAAGTATGCAAATAAAACTACTGAAGAACAAAATGTGAGAAATTAGCAAATTTAGTTATGAGTACATTGCATACTGAAAACTATGTAACCAATTACCTATTTATGTAACTGGATTAAGTCACAATCGTCATGACAACTAGTGATACAACTCAGATGACACAATGTTAGTAAGACCTCAACTAATCTAGTTTTTTGTTAAATGAGTTATTTCTCTTAAACATAATCGCGATAGTACTTTTCAAATTCATATCTCCACACTAACCTGTAATTCAATTGTTTGTTCTCACTTTTAGTTTACTAATTTTGTTGTATCCCAAGGGCGCTGTCATTTGATATATGGAGAGTTGCTACATCATAAAACTGTCTTCTTGTATATCAAGCATTTCTTTTACTTCTATGATTTTTGTCTCCCATCGCGTTAATGATTATTGTTGAAGTGTCGTACGTCAGTCGGCCGATCTATCGAGTCCGTGCAGATCAGGTCTCGTATTAGAAGAATATTCCAACCGTTCGTAATTAGGAATTACCGTAGGCCACAGTAAAACATAGTATATAAACCCAAAGCTGTGAAGCGAAATTCAAACAGAAAAATAAAAGAATTACCGGACTGAGTCATTACGTGTGAGACAGGATTTTGGAAGGGAAGTTTGAACAAGCGTCTGCAATTCACATCAGGATACTATATTTAGACAACCCCCTTCATCGATTTAAATGACTTTATGTGCTGATATATGAATGAATATACAGGATGTTTTTTAAGCAATGAATGATAGAATAGTACAAAAAAATTAACTTACCAATTCTGAATGTAAACTTTCCAGTTTTTAGTTCTTGGTGCGCCAAATGTTTTATTACTGCATCAAGAATATATTGACCCTCAGCACGACGTTCAGCTTTAGAAGATTCCAAAAGTGTAATTGCTCTTGCTAAACTATAACGATTACCTTGAATTAAGGAATCTGCTAACGTCTTAGCATACTCTGTTTGGTTAATAGACAATGAAGTTATCTTTTGAGATATAATAGGAATAGAAGAATGGATATACTTTTTAGAGTGTTTACATGAAAACACTCTGAAACGACCATACGATATATGAATATGAGAACAAATACGAAGCATGATTTCAGTTTATTCTGAGATAAATTGATGCATTTTTTTGTCACCTCAAAGTATCTTTTCAATAAAACAATGATAAACAGTATTTAGACTGAAAGATTAAACCTATTTTTCAAATAAAAACAACACAAAACTTGACATTCCTACAGAAATTAAATACTTCAAATAAGTAAATAAAACAAATTTGTGAATATGAAGGTCAATTAATAGAAAATGTACACTATTCAAAAAAGTTGTTTTGCTAGTTCATAGTAATAACTGAAAACCTGAACCTAACAAGAAAGTGAATTATCATTCTGACCAATGATAAAAACAATATGGTCAAGATTTAAACATATAAACTATTTTAGTAATCAATGTTTCAAAATGAAATTATGGAAACATTATTTTAAAATAATTATTAAATACACTTCATTTAACCCAACAAAGGCATAGTGTCAATTGAGTTACAAAATCACGGCTAGATAATCTCATGCCAAAATTGTGAGAACAACAATATATATCACAGGTACAATTAAAATCAACGTTTATTGAGAGAAAAGGCGCAGCAAAAAGCGAACAATATATATTGGGAGTTTATTGTCTAGACGTATTTTATTGGTCGACTGAGTAGTAAATATCTTTTTTTCATTAATTTCACAAATAATTAAACACTTGTAACATGATACATTGGCAGACAGACAAACGTCATCATCACAGAACCTAGCACAGATGTGTATCACTCCAAGCTCCCATAGACTATGTTCCACAGCCACAAGGGAGAACAGAGCAGTATACACACCCTTTAATTGGGAAATAGACATTACGCTTACGCCACGAGTGATGTATGTTGGCAGGAACTAACAGGGCTTTTTGAATTCATTCCAAGATTTCTTTGGATACAAACCCTCCAGGGCTGACGAAACGGTCAAAGAACTCAGCTGCTTCACTCCCACTACAAGTTCGACAGTTGAAACAGAAAATGCTTGAAGCATCACTCTGTATTTAGAGGGAGAAAAACACATCCTAAGCATGCTAACGTTATTATTCATGAAGATCAGAAAACTGCATTTTATCCGTGTTTTCGCTTAATAGAATTATGTCAGCTGAGTGTTCTAGGTCAGCAAGAGAATATCCTGAGATGCCACCCCTGAAAATTTAGGTAGCGAAAGTATATTTCTGAGGGGACACTTATGATCACTAGGATATAACTCGACTGGTAGTATCTAGGTAGAGAGTTTACATCAGATGTATGTACCTATTTCAATGGTAAACATTGACATATAACCTCTTGCTCGGCAGAGTAAAATGCTGCATTATTATCAAGGAATACAATTATAGTGAGTGGTCAGTAATTTAAGGGACTTTTGTGAATTTCCCATTCGAGTTTATTAGGGATATTTATTTATTTGAACACATAAATATTAGTACATAGGGAAACCGAATACATATGCGCCACACAAGTCATTTGATTTGTGTGCGGGCTGTGATACTGACCGGGTGTCCAGATCGAAGCGGGTGGTTTTCTTAGGGAACCACACCCCGAGCCTTCGACCCAAAGGTCTGATTCACAAGGCAGCGGAGCAGCGTCAGGAGATGCAGTCACATGTTAGCCGGCGACCAACGATTGGTTTATACGCCATTCGTTCCCTCAGGATACTGAAGCCTATGTTCACTATCGGTTTGGAATCAGGGTTTTCCAACTCCCCTAGGTGAACCCTCTGAGTCCACCAACCCGGTTAAAGCGCCGAACACTCGCTTTTCGTCCTCTCAACTTCGTAAACAACACCCCCGCTACGAGAAGGCAGTGAATAGGAATCCCCTGGCAGTGGTTGTATACGTGTGGCTATGTGAGAGCATTGCGAGATGGAGAGCTAACCCCCGCACCCTCGGCCATACTAGGGCATTTGGGGGTAACTGAAGGGTAGCTTAAGACCAGTCGAACTGCTACCCGAAGTGTTCCACCCATATATCTAATCTCATAGATTGAGAGTGAATGGTAGATCCGTCCTTTTCCAAAAGAGCCTTACTAACACCTGCTTTTTTAATACCTGTTTGCTTGTTCAGTCAGTAGAGTTGTCTAGTGTTACCTATTGCACTACCTGTTCCATCTATTTTGCTTTCGTTGCTCAACCAATGCTCGTAATTATTATATGAACCCGTTGTTAGTTTGATTTTGAGTTGTCACTCTTCACCATCCCCCAAGCCTGTCAGGATAATTTTTGAGAATTTATTACTTTAGTAGATGCTCATTGGACTTTCATAACCTTTTGAACTAATTTATCGATAGATATAATTACTATATTTAAAGTTGTTTGGTTATCTTTTCAGGCTTTTTCAGAATGAATTGTTTCTTTACGATCGATTAGATATTTATATATCTTTCACATTTTCATCCCCGAACTGATTTCTAAGTGGGCCTCCTGATGTGACTTTCCTACATCTAGTAAAATACATAGAAATACGTTTAAATCGAAAAATGACTAAAAAACCTTTTTAAGTGGTAATGACATGTGTATATTATAACTTCTGAATGCTAGAACTAAGTTACTCTCTATGGGTAGAAAGTGGAGATGTAAACAAACAACAGGTCATTGGAAGTCTGCTTAAAAATTTTAAAAGGACAATAATATACACAAAAGTAGTAGTTATCGTGTTGAACACTGAGCAGTAAGTTTAATCAACGTTACAGTTTTAAAAATCTAGTACTACAATCATTTTAAATGCTTTAAAAATTAGGACAAAGAAGTGCTTAACTTAAAAATGATTTCACCAAAATGTGACTAATCTGTTGAAAAAATAAACTGGTGTGCAATAAATAGAACCAGCTAATAAGTTTCAGAATGATTACGATATTGACAATAACAGGTTAAGACTAATAAAGCTACAGTAACATGAAGAGCAAGATATGAAACAAGCATCCAACCAATATGATAATAACAAACAGTTTATCCTAAGATTTATATGGATAACTTCAGATAGTTTCGGTATCTGCCAATAATTACCTTAAATTATACATTTCAATAAAATTGTAGCAATGCACTTAACTAAATTCTTTTTGAAATTAGCTTCTATCGCTGATGAAATCAGCTTCAAAATGACTATATATGGGAGAGTGTGTGTGCTGAACAACTACTTCAATTCAGTTTTGGACTTCTCAATTGTTTTAATACATGGAATGTAATACAGTCGCGTCATGTGATGAACATGATACTTTTGTAGTTATGAAAACACAGGAGACTGGATTTCAATTCAGCGATTTAAAAGTATTATACTGGATGAAAAACCTAAAAATCCTTGTTTTAATTATGTAGATGTAGTTTAACTTCTAACAAGGACAAAGTTAATGTCCTTCCATGATAAACTTTTTTTTAAAAGTTAAATAATAACAAGTTATTCAAGTAAACAAATGTTATTTCCTAATCTATTTACGAAAATAATTTTTTATATATAACATCGAATTTATTGGTCGTTCTGTTTCACAAGTTCACTTAATTACATAAATGCATAGGACACCTTTCGGAAGAAATTTACGTGTATATGTGTGTTCATACTGAACCCAAATTGATATATGTGAGCAGTGTTATTTAATGTCATGTACACTTACCTAACTAAACAATTTTATTTTTAATTATATAATATTGAAGATCATCAAATATAATCCGATTGATCATCTTCTGAACACTGAATAGTACTAATAGTAGTCATAAGGCAACAATCAATAACAAACCTTATAATAGGTCAAATAAATCAAGATATGAACTATACAACAAACAACATTATGTAATGTACTAAAATTCATTCATATTGAAAAATAAAACAATACTTTAGTATGCTGTTTATTCTGAAAAGAAAAAAATACATAAGTAACCATGCAAATAACCAACAACAAGGAAACAAAGAAAAAAATAACGTAGATACCATCATTATCAATATATTCATATATCTAAGTAGTCTATATATACGTAATGTACTTCATACAATAATGGTAATGATTGTGTATATACACAGAAAAAAAGTGGGATAACAAAATGATACGATTTTTCTGTAAAAAAATCTACATTTACGGTTAATGTGAGTAAATATGTAGAAAGGAGAAGAGAAACAAATGAAGAAAAAAGACAGAAGTACATAACCAGATAATACTGATGAATATATGCATACTGATTTTATTGTTAACAAAATCAGTTTACAAACTAATCATTTTCATCATTATTATCATGATGATAGAGAACAATGGTTGAATATATAGTTGAGAAATAAACAAATTATAAATTGTTTAATAAATATTTAGAAAAAAAAAGAAATCAAACAAAACACAACACAATGATAGTAAATAGGAAGATCTACATTGAATTTATAAAAAAAAACAATACACTAATTGATATTTTGTAATTTTCTCTTCATGGAATAAAGATGAGCAGCAGTGAAAGTTTAGAAAAGACGAAAAGAGTAAATGTTTAATTTATATCTTTCTTTTTCGGTTTTATAAAAATAATCATCACAATAACTCTGTGCAATGTTCATGCCTTTTCACTCTTTTTTTTTCTAGAAATGTGCAGAGGCAAGAGATGGGAGAAAAACGACAAGATACAAAGAAAATAAAAATCTATGAGTAAACAACTATCACAAAACAGAAATGGACTCTTGAAATAAAAACTAAAAAACCAAATGTTCAAAGTGATATCAAGTGAAACGAATGTATAAGAGAAAATAAGTTTTCTTTAACAGAGAGTAATAAGTATAACAAATGAAAGAGGTATTGTTTTTTAACAAGAGTTATTTTTTATAATCATTGCTGTCAAAATTCACATCATATTGTTACTATTGTGCAATTGGCACTAATAATGAATAATAGTAGGTGATTAAACTAGTGAGAAATATTTACGTATATATAAAGTATAAGAAGATTTATAATAAAAAATAATAATAAAAATAATAATAGCAATATAAATCAGACATGAAAAAAAAACAATACTAAATGAATCTGATTTTGAATATCTTTGTGATGTATTCTACAATTTGAGGTTTTATCCATATATATATATATATATATATATATATATATATCGATACTTCTCAGGAAAATGTTATTAGTTAGTAACTAATTATTTATATTGAACGGCTACTAACCACTATGACGATATTCACGTAAAAAAATGTGAAGCATAGAGGAAGAACAAATACAAGCCTGTAAATAAGTTGGAAAAGAGAGTGAGAAAACGAAAATGAAAACAATATTAATATAATGGTAACATTTTACTGAACATTTATAAGTATGGAGATAAAGAATATATTGTCGTTCCATAACTAACAAAAGAATTAGTTGGAATTTCTTTAAATTTATATTGCACTTCTTATTACTTATTTAATAAAAACGAGAAAACTATAAATTACTTGATTACTTACACCTTTTAACCTTCGTGGAGGAGCATAGACCGCCCACAAGCATTCTCCGACCAACTCTGTCCTAAGGTTTCCTTTTCAGTTGTTTCTGAGTGCTATTCATTATTTTGATGTTCGAATTCGATAAGCGTCATAACATGTTTTTTTACCTTTCGCTTTTCTGTTTCCCTTCAGGATTCCAATTTAGCGCCTGCCTCGTGATGCAGTTTGATGATTTCCTCTATATGTGTCCTATCCGCTTACAACGTCTTTTCTTAATTTCCTCTTCAGCTCGAGACGGGTTTATTCTCTTCCACAGTAGGCTATTGCTGATGGCATCCGGTCAACGAACTTTGAACATCTTACATAGACAATTGTTTAGAAATACTGGTATATTTTTTATGATGGTTGTAGTAGTTCTCCAAGTTTCGGCTCCGTACAGTAGAACTGTTTTGACACTCGTATTGAAAATTCTCAATCTGATGTTGGCTCATAGATAATTGTTTTGAGTTCCATATGTTCTTCAACTGTAGGAATATGGCTCTTGTTTTTCCCAATCTTACTTCTATGTCTTCATCGGATCCTCCTTGTTCATCGATGATGCTTCCCAGGTAGGTGAAAGATTCCACCTCTTCCAGAGCTTCTCCATCAAGTGTGATTAGGTTGTCAATCTTTGCGTTTTATTTGAGGATCTTGCATTTTCCCCTGTGCATGTTAAGGCCTACCGATGCATAGGCTGCCGTTACACCTGTTGTCTTGACCTGCATGTGTTGTTGTATATGGAATAGGAGGGCCAGATCACTTGCAAAGTCCAAATAGTCTAGTTGTATCCAACCTGTTCATTGCATTCCGTGCTTCCCCCCCCCCAGATGTCGAGGTTTTCATAATCCAGTCAACCACCAGAATAAATAGAAAGGAAAATAGAAGCAATCTTGTTTGACACTAATCTTCACTTCCGATGCATCTGTGAGCTAGCCCCCACGAACGACATCGCAATGTAGTCTGTCGTATGAATCCCGTATGATGTTGACGATCTTACCAGGTACACCATAGTGTCGAACGTTTCATAATGTTCTCCTATCCACGCAGTCAAGCGCTTTCTCAAAGTCAAGAAAGTTGATGTACAGAGATGAGTTCCATTAAATTGATTGTTCAACGATAAACTGTAGTGTCGCGATTTGGTCGGTACGCGATCGATCCCCAATTAATCTAGTCTGTTGATCTGAAAGTTGAACGTCTAATGAGTCATTCACCTAATTCCATTATTAATTACTACTGGAGATATTTAATTAGCATAATATGCATTTTTAATGTCTATTGCCGGATGAAATTAACGGATAGTTTATTAGAAAATTAGTTACTTGGTTTAATCTGGCACAAAAGTTTTGGTTTGTCGTTCTTTTTTAAGTTATGGCTCATTATTTCTGCTGGGCATTCCATATTGTACCAAATATAATACTGGATAAAACCATTACTACTAATAATAACAACTAACACAGGTTCAGACCGTCGAACCCATTTATCTTGATTTGCATAGTTCAACAAGTATCACTAGTTCTTATATGAAAAAATGTGGTCCGAAACCGACTAAATGAACCTAAACGAGTTAATAAAATGACATATGAAAAAATACAATATAGATTAACCCAGATACCATACGAGAATGTTGTTATTCTACGTTCTTGACTGATAAAATACGACAGTTGTCAGTTGGAAAATTCGATACACTCTTTATTAATAAAAGATTTAGCTGAAAGCAAATTCTGTGCTAGTTTTTCACATTTAAGATCAAATAAGAAAGTTGATGTCACATTTTTCTATATAGAAGTAAAATCTTATGATAGAAAAATGGTATCATATCTATTATGGCTTCATTTAGTACTTAGTATATTTGGAAATGATTTCCTACGATCAACGAATGGGTTTGCCCGACTATCTTAACCGAATAGTCAAAGACTTTGGGTGATATGGTTCAAAATCGTTCACAATGGCGCAGGCACATTTGCTTTTTGTCTTCGATTAGATTTTAAATTTCTAAATTACCTAACTACTTTATAAGTATTTTTTATTTCACCAATTTATACTTTCCTTCTCGAACATCTTTTATTATTACTGATACTGTTACTACCTCTACTACTCTGGTACTTACCTTGACAATTTCATCACGCTGTACTAATGGCATGTGGTAACATGAACAGCCAACACATTTACATGCTTCTACGTTGCTTATGACAATCATTTAATAATGATGAAGGTCGACCTTATGATAAACAGACTCACATTTGAATAAGTTAATACGTATAAATAGCGGTGTAAAAAAAGTAGTAGCATCCTCATTCAAATGATGCCACCGTGAAAGTCAAGTCCAACCATCAGATTAAAACAAATCTTCCACTTCATAGGAATAAGAATTATAAGCAGTAGTATATATATTTCCAAATAACATATTCTATACAAAATAGAATATCTTGTCATACAAACTATTACTTCATAAGATGTTTTTTATTCAATAAATGAATACAAGGTGGATTAAAGTAGGCAAAAAGCTAAACAGGTTTATTTGAATCATGTCTTAGAGTAATGAGGAATTTAAATAAAACTAAACTGTAATGAAAGTATACAAATTAATCAAAAAGTAATTTTTCCAACAAACCAATTCAACCTAACCCCTAAAACAACACGAACGTCCTAAATTGCAATGCCGTTTATGCAATATAATAACATAAACTATTCACAATTGATTAGTAATTATTTTAAGTTAGTATTTTCCTACTTACTGAGGTAAATATTTTATTTGTATAATTTCCAAAATGTTTCTGGATCTTGATTTGAAGCTCTGATTTCTTCTTCTTGAAGCATTTTGCATAAATCATAACTAAAATGTAACAAAAGAAAATTATTGAAAACAAATTGATGGAGAATGAATTAATGTGCTTAGTTCCAGGGTATTTACTTAAAATATAACTCATTGAAAAAAAACTATTACTGACTTTGAAAATTTTTTAACAGGAAATTTCATAGTTTTATATTGAACAATTAAAAAAAGATGTAATTTTATAAAGTGGACTATAATAAACTACCCTGCTGAACGCTTTAAGATTCAGGAAATTTACTATCTGTGTAATGAACGCTACTCAAACGATTGTTTGTAGGTAGTGTGTAGAAGAACATGAGGTCGCAGTTGCTACAACTGTCACATGGAGTGAAGAGCTTCAGTGCATTGAGATCACGGAGTTTGCAAAACACTTCGAGGTCACACGAGAATACAGTTCAGATGACAGAACACACCGAAAGATGCAAATGGAAGATTGAAGGCTATGTATAACGTATTATAAGAGTGCTTCTCAAAATGAATACATTCCTCCTTCTTACTGTTGTGCTTTACACTTGCACTACTAGGACATCCTAGTTGACATAACGGGCAATATGTAAACTTGATAATCATGCCTTAATTTCATAGGTTAGTAAGAATTATAAAATCATTTACTTTTTTAAATAAATTTTAATACTGTACATTTGGTGCAGAAATGTATCATTTCCTGTCTTCCAGTATCTGCACTTCGGAGGCTTCAGTCAATAATTTAGGTTTTACATCGACAGTTATCAGCCAAGTATATAACACATATTAACTCAGATAATCAATCGTACCATCTACAGTCACACAATCAAAAAATGATCTGTCAAAAAACCACTCATCATTATCTATGGAAAGTAAACTCAAACATCTCATCTCATAACTTCTTCCCCAAACTTCAGAACTGAATTTTATAGCAGTACGTTTGACACCGACGCTAAAAATTTACCGAAGTGTAGTGACTGTATATCGATATTACTTTCAATACGACTGAAAACTACGAAATCAACAATAGAAAGTCGTCGAATTGAATGTGGGTGTGTGTCCTTACACTGTTAACTGAACAAATAATTCCCAATTTCCGATGTATATAGTCATAGGATAAATATGAAAAGTATCATTTGAATATCCTTCTAATAATTATTCATTAGAGTAAAAGTACGGAATATTGTTAACATGAACTTGAAACACGATTTGAGCAAAAAACTTTCGTAAATGTTTGGCGCTGAGTATATAGAAACGATTATGAAATTAGATTAAATTTTCCTAAATTCCAGTGATTAAAATCAAACTATTCCAACAAGTTTGCACTTCTTCAAGGAAATAATATCAAATCTATCTGATACCAATAAGGTAAAAAGAATATTTCTGATCAATCTTTAAGACGTTGGACCCCCTCAGCATCTGCGTTAAATTGTTAATTGAACTGTACATGATATCAGTTACAATTGTTTTTCATTTACTGTTTGATTATACTATCTTCCTCTTTTTTCCATTCCTTTACAAAATTATCATTCTACTCTGTGTAGGATACTCTTTCGATCTTCTTAAATTGAACCAAAACAGTTTGTTATCAATAAATAAAATAGTTAATAGATTCACAGATCAATGATTTAGTAGTTACTAGTTTAACTTATACGACAACCTAAGTTTCCTTTTCTTTATAAACTACACAACTGAAAATAAAAATCTGTATTATTGCATAAATATTCCCAAATAAACATAACTCTATGTATCAAAAATGCTTATCTTTTAAATTCGAATAACACATTTGGACAAACAATATTATTTTCAATAAGATTTTCATCAGACCTTATTACTCTAATGCGCAGTAATATTTATGTGTAAATATTAAATCAATCAAGACAGTTAGTTTGTAAGTCAATGATAACCACAAAATAGATTACGTAAATAAACATGATAGTCAGTATAGGTTTATGGAAATTGTGGAATCCTCAAAGCTATTAAATCACGCAACAGATGTTATTTGGATAAGCATCAAAAACCTGGAAGCACTGGACGGTTTTTCCGTCCTAGTGTGGGACTTCTCAACAGTGCCCACCCGCAACATGGAATTGGACTCAGGAATTGTTTTGCACACAAAAGCTTAACCCCTAAACTACTGAGGTAGTGTCTAAAAATGTTAAGAGTTCGCACCCAAGGCTGAAGGCCCTGGGATTCGTGTGCACCGATGAGAAGCCCCATACTAAGATGAAACGGCTATTGTATGTTCCCTGGCTTTCAATGGTGTTCTAGCTAAAATCAATTCATGATTAAATAACTATCAGCATGATAATTAAAAATTAAAAAGTACGAAAGTGTTTAAAAGCCTGATGAAAATCGGATTGAAAACGATATTGTGTCGTTTTAATTCCATATGAAATCAAAAGCACTCACTCTAATGAAGTCGAATTACTCTCACTGAGATTACACACAGGTACGGAATCAGGATAGTATTGTTTTTCGACAAAATTATCTTTACTGTTATTACTATTATTAGTACTTTTACAATCGGTTCTAGATTTTGAATCCAATTTATCCGATTTAATTGTAATAATACGAACAGCATCAGATGTCTTTCGAATTGATGAATCAGATGTTGTTGGACAAAATAATTGAAATGAACAATCAACAAATTGTGTATCACCATCTAAATCATTTAATAACTCCCAAACAATATTTGGTTCATTGAGAAGACCCATATCTGTGACTAATACAAATATTGAATCCTAAAACAAATATGATTTCCAAAAAAAATTACTAACATCAATCAGTTGCTTTCTGCCTAAGAAATGCAATAATTCTAATCACATAACTCTGAAAAAGTAAAATACTCGATACTTTTACGTCTGGAGAATATTTCCTGGAAACGACAAGTTAAATATGGAGTCATAGTAGCATAAATCAGAGTGGTAAGGCTATGTTGTAATAAAAGTGATGTGGAGAAGGAAATAATCAATAATTAGGAGGTATTTTAATTCTCATCATAGGCTGACATCAGCTGGAGATTCACTGGAAATCAGGAAGTACTGAATAACTGTTTGGATTGAATGATTTGTTGCACCAGTGACACTACAAAAAATATAAAGGATTTTCAGGTCTGAAGACAAGTATGACAATACTAGGTTAGAGACGATAACTAACGATATACACTTTTTAACGACAGTTAACTTACGATGTAGAGCAATCATAAAATGGTATCAGGGAGTGATCACCCCATTCCAATATGGTTGATCTCAAAAGACACTAACCTCTTGGGACTCCGTGAGTTTATTCGCAAAGATTGTCACTTTGATAGATTTTTGGAGATTTATATGCTCAATGTGAATATAGACAGTTACTAACTGAAAGAAGACTGAATATCGAGGAGTACATAGAATCTATTCAGTGTGGAGACACAGGTATTCATTGTTAGAACGTTTCAAATTAGGATGAAACAATGACAGATTTTTAGTGCTTTTTGACTTGGAATGTTTTCAAACTGATGCCGATTCGTTATGAAAAGTATTTTCGAATTAAAGAAATTTCTACAAATTCATTTAACTTGATATAATAGTTAATATATATAAAAATAAATTTATTTTCCGAAAACTTTTTCATGTGAATTTACTTCTGAAATTATTACTTCTAAAACAAATTCAATTTCATCATTAGTTGGATGCGTCTGTAATTTTGACGAATTTCTAATTCATACTAAGAAAAAACTTGGATTTACAGTTATTGTACTGTCATAATTATATAGTAGCCACATAATTTTCTGGGCGTGAATCAACTCAACAAACTAACAAACATCTTTCAACATATCAAAAATGACAAAAAGTAGGAAGACATTTGAACTTTTAAGCAGAGTTCAGACAATAATAATTAATTAGAGATTTCTTGGTTGTATTAAGATTTTTACTGTCATATCCTACTATTTTAGTAAGACGTAGTATATATTTACTCATTCAAATAAATATGAGATGGTTGAACAGAAAACAACAAAAACAGTACATTTACAACCACGACACGTAATGTAGTACTAGTACCAAGAGGAGGATGAAAATTTTTATGCATAAAAAATATAGCAAATTGTACAAGATTGTAATTCTGTTTAGCTGTTCAACATATGCTATCCTCTCTTGAAGGTTAATTGTCAGTAGCACGTGTCAAATCGTTCGTCGTTAAAAAAGCATTCCCTACTATATGGGTTTGTGGAGATTGATGAAGTTTCATAGTTGAAATCACTGACTGATCATCGTTAAACAACTAGTGGTTGTGCAAGATCGATTCAATGTCAACTATGAAAATAACAATTTTTTAACGGCAAAAATGTCATATTTTCATTCGATTTATGAAGCTTCAATATTTTCAATATGTTACGTAAGTAATTTCACTTCTGTTCAGTGCAAACGAACAGATAAAACACGTATTTATTGAATAGACGCTTTAAGTGGGTTATAATCAAATTTAAATAGTCCAATAGGCCTGAATAGAGCTTTTGTTAGAGCACTATAGTTGAAAAGGATCTGCCAGATAATGGCTAATCATAAAAGAATATGCTACAATAGAATAAAAGCTCGTCATCCTCCGATTTGGCCTAGAATGTGAAGGAATAAGCGGCACGACTAGTTTTAGACTGAGTGGTGAATTGGAAATAATGCATTCAGCCACCATACTAGTCTCCTTGCATCAAACAAATGGGTCACTGGGATAAACAAAGGTAGGTAACTTCAAACTTCATGTTAGTTCCAACTGTAATTACCAGTTTACCTGTAGATGCCAGAGTATTTACATAGAATGAACAGAAAGTTTTTTTCGCATCTCGCAGAACATTCTACAACAAATGAGACTAAACATGCTAAAATGATTTAGTAATGCAATTGCTCGTACTGATTGTTAGTGTACATAATTTTAATACAAAAATAATCAATACTCACACAACTTTGGATTCATTAGGTCTCATTATGGGCATCGCTATTAAAGGACTGAAAAGGAAACTACTCATTTAAAAAGATCCAGTTTTACATCTCGCACTACCCTGTGTAACTTCTACGTACAATATTTTATTTGATCCTCCCAACAATAACTTATTTTTTGCATTTTTGCGTCATTTTTTAACCTTTACTCACTTCACTCTGTTTATCTACCTAACTCTACAGATGTTATTACGCAACTTGACATCAATCTTTATTTTCAACAAATTTGTCATCATGAACTTTTAAAATACGTTCTTTAAAACTTTTATATAAATTAGCAGGTAAATATTTAAACATTCTTATAATTCGTCCACATTTGTAGCCTTTATTCAATTAAGATTATATGAATTAAGCCGATCAGTTTCAATTAATCAATATTATTATTCCTTACGAGTGAAGCAGTTGATGAGATACCGAGTAATTTATAAATTCACATTATTTTTCTACGTTCATTTTTCTCGTTTTAGTCAAATTTATCAATGAGGAAGATTGTATCAAACTTATTTCAATGAACATATCATGAATCAAGATTACAAGAGATAAGTGACCATTTGTTGTGTTTATATTTATTATTAAAAGTTTGAGCAAGAAGAAATTTCTATGATGTATTGTTTGTGTATGGAAGATATAACAATATCTGATTATATTTTACTATAGAGTTTATAAAGAATGAAAACTGAGATATTGGATTGAAGATTCGAATCAATGAATAAGTACATTTCTAAGTAAATGCTAGAAAAGCTGTTTAGGTTATCAGTAAACTCTGTCTTTTTATCTCTGCATGAACGGTACATTGCTAGTTCTGAAAAACAAGTATGAGCTATCACACGTTGACTGGATAAATTTACTAGAGTTCATCAGTCAAATTTTCTAATGAGAGAGGAAAAAAGTGGCATCGTTTTGCTTCTCGATTTTCTATTAACAAGAAGACCATATTAAATAATAAAACGACATTTAAATCCATTTATTACGATTCAGCATTCACTACAACACAATCTAAGTGTTTGGTTGACAGCATTAAATTAAATCGCTTGGACAAGAATTTCGGAAAGGAACTCAAAATTATTTGTGATCTGCTTACTTAGTCAAGATGGATATCCACCGAAGTTCGTAATAAAACATATTTCTGTATTTATTTATTCAACTATTTTTGTGGAGCAAGTTACATTGGTCACATGATCACATTTCTGAAAGTCCTCATTTATAACTGAGTAAACGACAGAGAAAAAATAAGACGTTCTAGAAGTGTAAATTTAGTCGCTTTATACCGGTCATTAAACTGAAAATACTCAAAGCTAACAGCTGTGTTCAACCCAATTTATCGTATGCCTCTGGATTTCGTATCTTACATACAGCCGAGATAACGGAAAGTGGTATAAAAAAATCTATTCCTTTTGTCTAAAACTACATTACGTATCTACTACACAAAAATTACAAAATGGTGGGTGGTCTCAGATGTTGAGTACTCTTATAAATATATTATTACGGAACCCTGAGCAACAAATTAATAAACATGCATAACACTGAAGGACAGTAACCAATAATTAAGCCCATTTCTAAAAGAAAACAAGGTCATGAGGACATTTGACCAGAGATTATTTTTTACTTTTATTTTGTTAACAATATTAATTAAATCATGGAAAATAAAATCTTGGCTGAGTTGTCTTCATTTTTCAAAAATCTAATTTGATTGAGCAAATGATTACTGATGAAAGTCTCATTTGATAGTTTCTTAACGACATTTTTGTTTGCTGTTGGGCGTAATATATCATGCAAACTGTAAAACTTAACAAAATGAGTGAATTTTACAATTCGCGTAGAAATGATATAGTCATATATATATTCAAGAATGTTAGACTTTAGACAATTTTATAGACGCACACTACAAGCGTTTGATAAGGAAAAAACACGACAATAAGGAAATATTGTCGATATTAAATGAGGTCGGGTTATGAATTTTATATTTTTAGATGCAAATTTGTAGTTATTTGCATTTTTATGCGGCTGTAATTGCAACAAGAAATTTATGCTAAGGGTAGTAGTCCATCATAGCACCTAGAGCTTTTTATATGTATGTCCAGGTTAGAACCCATAGATTGAGGTCGATTGCTTTAACCAAATCAATTAAATCAGATTAACCAGTTCATCAGATACTTTGGGTATGAGCCATCCTTTAAGTGTGAGGGCAAATGATACTATGCTGTTTCCTGAACAGAAGCAGATGGAGCGTGATTTGAATACAGGCTTAACAATGTTGAAAGTTGGACGCCTTAACCACTGAGTCATCGATCCACTGTTCTGACCAATAAACCACCAGTAGTTTCGCCGACTTGAATTCACAGGATAACCAATGAGTTCCACATGCAATATATTCACAGCTGGTTATTTATAAAAATGATATTTAACAATCTTCGTTTAATAGTTATTTTGATCTCCAAGTAACTGATTCGTCTCATCTGAAAATTAAGTCGTAGCTACATATTCTGGTATTCATTTAGTTTGGAATAGTTCATAGTTATTACTCAATCATATCATACTAAATCTTAGTGCATGTCGATCGATAGAGACTTTCATCATTCGCTCTCTTTTATACAATGGAATGTGACACGTGACTAGAAACAATTTTCGAAATCGATATATGTATGATGAAATACCAGTCACGAGATTTAACCAAGCCAAGCTAACATGAGGCCATTCACATATTTAAAACAATGGATTTACATCTTACCTTATGCTTTAATATGGTGTTAAAGTGATTATTTCGAAAAAACACAGCCAATTCTTCATCGTGTAAAGTTGTAACTAGCTGGCTTAGACCATGAAAAGTTAACTGTGAACCGCTTTCATTTAGAAACCATTCAACAAGTATACCTATTGTTTAAATATGAAAAAAAAATATTATTTCCTATATATTTTGTTAGATTGGAGTAGTATTAAACCAATCTTTTTAACAGATAACAGTAAAGTAACACTTATAGGTAAGGATTGGAATAAAAAGAACTAAATAATTCTAGCTGGATCTTTCTAGACGATTTCATGAAGTAATTAGGCAGTGCTTATGAGTGAGAATCTTTGGAATGGATACTCTGCATTTTGAGTGGCAAATCATAACCTTGCAGAGTCAACTAAGTTATCTAAAAGGTTGACGCTAACTGATAACATTACATGACGGACACATTGTATTCCAACATATATTCTGTAGGACAGTGTGTACCAATGAATTGAAACGGAATGGTGCAATGGCAATGGACTTTTCATGAGATTTCAAGGTCATGGGTTCGACTATCCATATAGATATGGATATCCATTCACTCACTAAGGTTACGTTAATTTCAATTCACTATGAAAACATTTGTGGAACTGAAAAATGATAATTGGATTACGTTTATCGAGTCGTCAAAGAAAGTTCTTTAAATATTCAACGAAACTTGAACGAGATAATTTCACAAGTCAATTAAAAGATGAACACTCAAACTAGTATTCCATCAAATTAAATTTTCCTTTGTACAATCAAATAATTTGGCATAAAGCGAAATAATATGTACAATAATATTTGAAAATATGAAAAGAAAAAGAAAGTAATTGCAGTAACACGGTTATGTTTTTTACAGTCACAAATTAGAATTTAAAAACATAGTATAGATGATTAGTCCTTTTGGGTGAAATACACAATTATACAATGAAATATTGATTTCATGAAACTATCTCGACTACAAGAAACGTAAACAAACAATGGATACTTTCCTGTGAAACAGAGTGGGTTACACACCACAAGCAATATTCTTATATATTGAAGCAGAGATCTCAACATTTATTGACCATAAGAGAATACTTCCTTCATTTATACATCAACGCTTTCTAGTATATGAATTATTATTCATCCATACAAAAAAGAATTACATTCTATCTATATTGAATGATAGAAAAAATGACACACATATCCCACTTACTTCTTTTTAAATCCTCATAATTATCAGATGATTCTAATCGGAGTAACTCTTCAGTCAATTGATTATAAGTTCGATTACCAACAGTTGCAGCTAAATCATGTTCATCAGGATCCACAAGCCAACCATGATAAATGTGTATGTTGAACAAATCAAATAAGCTTAATGTTGGAGTGTACTCAAAATCTGCAACACTTATAAAATAAGTAATGAAATAACAATATACTTAAAAGATTAACTGGAACAAATAATCACAAGTAAAACAAAATTCAAAGATTATTATTATCAGATAGATTAGTCAGTGTGATTCAACACTTGAGTGTGACAATCGGTGAATTCTAGTTTTAACTCATGTTGAACTTAGCGTAACTATTAAAACATTCTGATACTCAATGATTGATAATACACCTACCACTTGTAAACTAATTATGCTATCCGGTTAAGCTAATCTAAGTAGGTGGTTGTCAGAAGTCAAGTGTTTAAATCAATGAGCGCGTGGTCTGTCAAAAATTGAAAGACAATGTAACGTATAAGGACTACTCAATAAACGGTATTATACATTCAGTATCTTTCAGCAGTGAAAACAAACTATTAAAAAGTGTTTGGTCATAGCTATTATACACAGCTACTTAACATAGACTATGTTGAGTTAATAATTTACTTCACCAAAAAACTCTTTACAAATCTACATTTTTATTAAACTCATTGAACAAGATCATTCTTTACAGTTGAATACAAACATATTCGACACTTATTTATTAACAACTAAGGTTCAACTATACTCAATATTAGTGTATGCTTTAGACAATAAACACATTACGAACTGAGGTGTGAAGGTTATTAATGACTGATGTAACTGGGAGCACGACCAGTCAATCGTACCCTAAATAAATCCATATGGATTTTTCAAACTTTTTAATTTAATTTAATACACACAAATTACGGTGTAAAAGGGTACCAAAAAGTGTGTCACATAAACTAATCGATAGTATAGTGCAGAACAAAGGGAGGAGAGTGTAGTACAATCAGTGAATTAATGAACAATAATCGTACGTGATAAAGAATATAGTTTAGTTAAAATTACGAAGTATGGCTAAGGGTCGAGAATACAAATATTTACTTGATAAATGAGTTACATTATTATTATTGTTATTATTATTATTATTAATTTAGTAACCTAAATATGAGAATTAGAGAAACACTATCCCGTTTGTATTTTATTTAACCAAGTTGGTATGTAATGCGGAAATAAAGCGATCAACAAAGTTTAAAAGTATCTAATAAATTTTGGAATTATTTCGAATCATTTATGTCAATATTTCTGACCTCTAAAAATCAAACAATAGAGTGATCGTTTTAAAAATGGTTGACAGTTTCTTGTTGTATAGCTCACTGCATCCACCCACTAAAGTTGGGTTACTTGATTAAATAAAAATCCAAAAACCAATTTATTTACATGAAACATTAAGTTAGTGGTTTCCTCGAGGTGTGCTATCTTCAAAAAAGGTAAATTAGTTTGAGGATTTAAAATATTTTTCTTAGACAAAAAAATTTGTTAAGAACAGATAGTTTGTTAACTTCATAAAACAAGTAAAAATTTGTACTTCAAGCTTAGAGAGTATATACATTGATTGAGAATAATGAAAAAAATCTCACCATCACCGTTTCACATGTGGATTAAATTTGCTATTAGAATTCACAGATTAAGGTTAAAGAGTCAAGACAAAGTTGTAATTCTATAATAAATACTTGTTTAAATATATTGTACATCATAAATTGGATTTAGCTAAGCAATCATTAGAAACTAAGGAGCACTAGACAGTCATTTTATTCTAATGTAGAACTCCTCAGCAGTTTATATTCACGACCCTAAAAGGTTTTTTGATATGATGCAGCAAGAACTAAGCTTGATAATTAGGTATTAATAGCATTGGACAGTAAATAACCTATGGATGTCATATCCTTTTATCAATTATTTATTAAATTACTTTTGATCATGAATATTTTTGTGTTTAATGTCTAATACATAAGTGGGTTATTTTGTTAAAAGAAAAACCTATTCAATTGAACAACTGACTTGCCCTCTGATATCAGTTCAGTTCAAATGCTTATGAGCAGTCCATATCACTCAGTCACTTGGTGTCGTTGTATATCCATCCATAGAATAGCACTGGATTGATACATTTGACAATCCAAGAATCTTTTTTATAAAATCCTCCCCTAAAAGTTCCAAACTCAACGTTTCCAGACATTACATTGCTAACTAAAGACGACTACTGAACTTAAAATCTAGTGATCCATATTCTCCAACTTCAGTTAATTCGTAATATTGATGTGGGTGATAACTGCCACATTCACTACATAATTAAGCACTATCGGTCACAGTAGTTGCTTAATAGAACTTCTGGAGTTTTTCTTAAGGTCTTATTTACTTATTTATAAAGAACACATTAGCCGATAGGATTATTAAAAGGAGGAGGATTAAGTGAAATGTTTAAGTAGTCATTAGGTAAAATGATTAGCAAAATTGTAACCTATAGAAAATTTCATATATTCAGAACTAACTTTAATAAATCCAAATTTCCGCTACATATTTTAGAGAGTTCGGTAATATCTAATCAATTAGTGGAAATGTATAACCTTTTTTCAGCATACTTAATTGTAAATGTGGATTTGTAACCAGCCATCAGTTTACCGATAGTAAATTTAATGAAAAGGTGATGCTTACTGTTACCTAGTTACTCAATTTCCTTGGTATAAATGAAAATAAAACTAATAAATAAAAATATTATTATTATTATTACTATAACAAATAGTCTACTTACCCAGTAAACCTGATATTTATATCAAGTCCAGTTTGTAAACTGGGAAATAAGCAAAGTACATCACGGAAATTCGACTCATAATTAATTTGTTGGTCGTAATCAAGATCCTATGGATTTGTTTTTTAAAAAAAGAATTCAATTTAAAAGCTGGATAGCATACTGATTTTTAACAATACATTCAAGTTAGTTATATGAAGAACAGAACATCTAAGGTGGACGCAGTTCAAATATCCAGTTTAAAAAAGCCGGTACTGCATCAATGCAAAATACACGTTGAAATCGAAACCATTTAAGAAATAAACATCAGAATAGATACCAATATTTTCGTGGTATTCACATGCTTTTATACTATGTAGGGTAGTTTAACTAGTTTTACACAAAAGTCGACTACTGACGTATATTAAAATAAAAGATTTCGGAAAGACCTTTATCGTTGCTTACACTAACAAAATATTTTGACAAATGGGGAAAATAAGCATTTCCTATATATCTAGTTCTCCATCTGTCAAGATTTATAATCAGTATTCCGATTTTAATATTGTAGAAATATCACTAAATAATATCATTCATCTGAGTCTCAGTATATTCATACTAAAGGTTTGTTTCTAAATACTTTTTATACCCAACAATAAAGTTCAACATTGCTAAAACAAATCCGCTGGAGAGCTATAGAACTGTAGTAAGAAGACAAAGATATGTAGGGAATCATCTGAGCAAACCGTCATCTATATTAGCATTTTCTCTGCACCACCAAGCCAATTAGGCAAAAAACTGTCCATATAGAAATTTGTTTTACGGTTTACTAAGAACAATGTAAATTGAGACAGAAACTCATTGATTTACGTGTTACATACAACCTAAAACATAAAATTGATCATGTGACACATTTAGCATTATAATTTTGACTTGATGATGATGCAAAAAACAGTCTTTCTAAATATTTCAAACGCTCCAAGTACTACAAAAATGTATTTTCATGCAATTGGTTCCCTTTATGAATTTAAATAAAGCAAGAACAAATATTGGTGCAGAATAGTATGAATTCATATTATTTCAAGGTTTCTCGTCAGCTACTTACAAACCAAAAATGTGATAGAATTTTTACATAGAGATAGAGTGAAAACAATTGACATAGATGAGTGTAAATAACTGGGTTACAATAATAACGATATATATATATATGCTAGAACAGGTCAGAGGTCAAAAGGAATTAATTCATGTTCGGTGGTGTAATAATGGAATTGAATAATCATAAGATTGGTTACGTAATAATAATTAAATAGAATTTGAAAAGTTAAGATAATTTAAGAGGATCAAGTGGTGGAAATGTGTGAATAATAATGTGGTTTAAGAATTATGTAATAGAGGAGGAGTATAAATATTTTAAAATAAATAAATAAATAATAAAATCTTTTTAAAAAGGGTTACCAGGGTAGTGATAAGTTAATTAAAGTCTCTTTTTGGATGCATAAGTCAGGTTTAAGTTTTTTGATCATGATGGCTTCAGCAAAACGGAGGGTGGTCGTACTTCTTTGTCCATTGATAATTTTAAAAGCATGCGGAATGTCGATGGTGTGCCCTGTGTCAAGTAGATGTCGAGCTATTGCGCTGTTGAAGGCCTTATTCCCTCGCAGCCTCGTTTTTTGAAACATGCTCAGAAATGCGGACATGCAATCTTCTCTCAGTTCTTCTAATGTATGTGCTTTGGCTACTAAGAAAAGAGGGCTTGTCGATTTTGGTTTGTTGAAGTGAGCAGTTCGTTTGCCATACTGTCATAAGTTTTGCTGTTGGGTAGGTGACTTTCAACGCAGAGTTTATTTTGTGATTATGTCAATTGTTTTCACTCTATCTCTATGTAAAAATTCTATCACATTTTTGGTTTGTAAGCAGCTGACGAGAAACCTCGAAATAATATGAATTCATACTATTCTGCAACAATATTTGTTCTTGCTTTATTTAAAATGTATTTTGCCTAGTACACTTTTTATGTGATACAAAATAAAAGTCATCCTTTTTTCTGAATTTTGTGCAGAAAAGTTGAAAATAGTTCTTTTTCGATTCTGATTGATTACCCGATCAGTCAAAAAGTTAAATGAGAACGTACTAAATTTTGGCATTTTACAGATGTTGATTTAGTTAACAATTTATTCAGTATTGTTTAAAAATTCTGTTTAGCTTTTCAGCAGAAATTTTTCCTTAACTAGATAAAGTAGTATTTTCATAAATTATATATTCTATAAACTTATAAATCTGTATAATAGAAAAGCAACAACACTCAAGAAATATTCTTTTAAACCTTAATTACCTTTTGATCTAACATGATTCATTCTTCTGTGATATGAATGTTGCACAAACCTATAACACTTCAATATTTATTGAATAAAAAACAACCACTCATATATATGACCGAAACATAAAATAATTATTTATTAATCAATCTAATACAAAGCATTTACAAATAATGTTTTGCCTTTCAAAATTTGGTTATAAAACTTACATTAGGAGCTTTCGATAAAAGTAATTCACTAAGAATAGCCAATAAACGATTACCACTGATTAATTCACTATCATTTGATAAATTAATTGTTCCACGTAATAAAAGTACATTTGCTATAGCAATCATTGGGCATGGACCATTGTTATTTTGTGTTATAATTGGACGTGTTTGATTATTAAATTTAATCCATTTAATATGATATATAGAATTTTCTAATTCTTTAATTAATAATGAATCAACATTTGATGTATTTGGTATGTTATTAAGTAATTTATTCGGTTCAATTATAGGTAGACAATTAGATTTATTATTATTTATAGAAGTGTTTAAATTACTTATCAATTCCATTGTATTTAAATGATTCAACGATTCATTTGAATCAGATTTAGTTAACTGAATATTTTTTGGCGAGTTGTCAGGTTGAATAAATATACTCTCATTTTTGTCCTTAATATGTACCGACAATTCATTCTCTGAATGTACAGTATGATTATTGATTTGATATAAAACAGGAAGAGATTTAGAAATCGAGTTCAAGCTCAAAGGATCTGTGAGTAATTAAAAAGAGAAGTGAAAATTCTGTAAGATGGATATTAAAGTGAAATAGATTTATAGGAAATGTACTGCGATAACCAGAATAAATTTGATTCAATATAAAACGTTTATTAGTTTCGTCAAAATCCTTTATGATATAATGAGAAAAGATATAAATGATTTGACTGAGATAAACAAACAACAATCAATTATTTTCTCAATCACATTTTAAAGAGTAATTATTCTAGTCATATCCGTTGAGTATGGGTTGTTAATTTTATGACATTATATATTTACGCTTATTCAGTAAATTATTAATCAATTAATTAATGTTACACACTGTTCAGTTCAATTAATACAAACCTAGCTGTTAATCATAATAAATACGTCATATAAAAATTAGTGTTCATCAATTATTTTGATTTATTTAAGGTATAATATAAATCCTCATCTACAATCTTCCTGTTCTTATTTGTGTTATCCGATTTACCGTTTTCCTGTTGAAGTATCAAGAAATGTTTGCAGTTGCAACACTAACAACGTATTTTTAGAGGGTCGATAAAGCTTCACCCACATTAATGTCTGATGTTTTTACTTCTCGTCATGAGAATTGTAAGGGTTCTCGATTCTAAGTATTTAACCTCAGAACTGGAAATAAAGCAATTAACAAAGTCCCAAGTTTATCCGAAACAATAGTCAACCAAACACCGTTCAAATACAGCACTCTAGAAACTTTGTCTAAGAATTTTCATACGTTTATTAATAATATAACCCATTCTTTATCAAAGCCACTGTAGGCTATAGAACTATCTTTAAGCTTCAATATTACTAGTAGCATAGAGAATGATGTCGAAATGAAAACGTTACAAATCCAGTTTACAGCACATTTCAGCTTGGATTTAACTATTCATATGTATCACTATGTGTTTATTATCTACAAATATCGGATTCAATCAAAAATAATGTATTACATCACTCACTGCACTACTGAAATTAAAAATACCATGGGTTAAACTTATTTCATGAAACGAATTAATGGAGTTTAGAAAAAACTTACTGGACTATTTTTCTGTGTAAAGTAAAACTTAGTAAACATTGTCGCGTTCATAAACTAATATCAGTTCAACAAGGTTTAAAAAAACTATACAGAAGCATTAGTCCATTTTGAGCCTAGTTAAGATTTCTGGATCGTAAGCATAATTTCATGATAAATATGTTGTTTTTACGAAAATCATACGCGATTATAGACATAAAGATAATAAAAACATTTTCAAGCAGTCATTATTACTAAAAATAATTGTTCTTGAAAATCAAATACGAAACAAGAGTAATATACGATGAATCCAAACATGTTTTTTTAATATGGACCCTAGGTAAGGGCGACTAAACATAAAATTCACGGTAGATCGATTGTAAATATTATTTACATGTACGTTTGCGTAGTTTTGATACAATTTCTAAATGATTCGAAGATAAATTTGGTTTTATTAATAAATTAAAACAAACTAAATACAAACTAGTGAAAATTTATGCAAATACATTAAAACAGATGAAGTAGCTTCAAATACATAAATATAAGTCACCTTCAGTAAACTTGTTGAATGTTTCAAACTTTCAGGTGAATAATAATGAAGTCAGGGAGTTAATTACATTTTATATGTTTAGGTCTGATAACAATAAGTATAAAATTAGACCAGAAATTCATACAATAGTCTGTCAGTTTAAATTCATACACCGATACACCATATAGCAAGATAAAACCAATGAAAACAAGAATTAAAGAAAGTTTTACGACACTAGTAGTAACAGTATTGAAAAACATGAGGAGAAAATAAAGATTGGTACTGCACAGAAAGATACAAAATGATAAATGGTATTTGCTACTTGAAAAAAAATGGGGAATAGATATATATGTACTAGTAAGACTGATTATCAACTATCTAGGTTGAAGTCTCTAACTAATAAATGAGTCCCCTGGACCTCAAAAAATTCGAAACATCCTTTAAATAATCGATAGAGAGTTGGTAAGTATCATTAAAATTAACCTGAAGTATTTCATGATACTCTTAAACCGACTAGTATATCTAAGATATTTAATACAGCACAAGTCCTAGAAGTTTCCAGAAACTTGAGTTCCCTCAACGATTATTCCAGAGACAACAGAAATCAATAATTTACATTGTTCGGAAGTCATCCTAATGCGGAGCGACAATTAATACAGCTACATGGAATGTCCAAACAGTGTGGGAGACTTGAAAGCTCATCTACATAGCACCAGATATGAGATATAACATTGCCGTATTTGGAATCAGTAAAACCCATTGCACAAGACGGATAGAAAAGATGTTGTATTCCGATTACGAAAGAAATTTTCCCGCACACACAAAGAGTTGCATTGATACTCTCCCACCAATGATAGGAGCGAAGACGACAAAGGCCAGTTTTATGAGAGGCTGTTGTCGAAAAGATCTGAGTAAAGCAAAGGGAGCATTCCTACAATGAAAGAACATCTGGAACTTAAAGCAGTCAACCAACAAGGAATTCAGAACTGTACATACAAACGTTAAACAGTTCTATCCTACGGAGCTGAAACGTGAAGTACTACCATCATCACCAAAACGTACACGCATTTATGAACAGTTGTCTACGCAGGATACCACTGACCAGAGACCATTGGTGATAACCGACTCTGGTAGTAAACAAACTGGCTTTCAGCTAAGGAGGAAACTGAGAAAAGATACCGGAGGTGGATAGGACACACTTTGAGGGAACCACTAAAATGTATCACAAGGCAATCCCTAAGCTGGAATTCTCAAGGCGAGAGAAAAATAAGCAGATCAACGAACACATGTTGCAGACATCTAGAGCATAAATAGAACTCGGTAACAACTGGAGAGAGCCCAAGACAGAGTTTCTAGAAGATCACTTAATTAAACGCCCCAAGAGAGCCAACAGGTTGAAATCAGTAATTATTTATATTTGTTTACTTTCCCATTTCATTTAACATAACGATCAATTAATTTTTGCATGTACAAAACAAAAACCCACAATGTTAAAGGTAATATCACTTAATAAACTATGTTGAATCAATCAATACACACAGTGTCACGTGACTATAGACCACAAGAACGAGATTTAACTCAATAATATCATATTAAAAATTACTCAATATTAAGTAATAGACAGGTCATTTATCAATATTCGATTTTAACGCTAGCAACTATCTGATAACTAACATAATAAGACTAGTAGGGGAAAAATAAAATGGAATCATGTGAATGCTACAAACGAAAGTATATAATTGTAACCAATTAGAAATGTTCACCGAAATTAATAGAAATCATATGAAGACAAACTAAATTCTATTCTTAAACGCTAACAGAAAACATTTGATAGTTCAAGTCGAAATGTCTGAATGCCCTGGTACGGCCGAGAGTGGGGAGAGTCCGCTCTCCCTCTCGAAATACTCTCACACGGCCACGCGTATACAGCCTCTGCCAGGGAAGTCCTACTCATTGCCTTCTCGTGGCGGGGGTGTTGTTTACGAAAATGAGAGGACGAAAAGTGAATGTCCGGCGCCTTAACCGGATTCCAAATCAATGGTGCACATGGGCTCCAGTATCCTGCGGGGACAAATGGCGTATGAACCAATCGTTGGTCACCGGCTACCATGGGACTGCATCTCCTCACGATGCCCCACTGCCTTGTGGGTTAGACCTTTAGGTCAAAGGCTCGGGGAGTGGCCCCCTAAGATAACCACCTGCTTCGGTTTGGGCACCCGGGCAGTATCACAGCCCACACACAAATTGATGAACTCTTTATGCCTATGGAAATTACCTTTCTCGCTTTGAAAAACAAACAATTGATTCAGATTGTTATCATTACAATTATTGTCATTATTAATACTAATATTATTATTACTACTACTATTATCGTCATTATTGTTATTATTATCATTATTATTATTATTTTCCACATTATTCACCCTCTTTTATACTTATACAGCGGCTCGTCTTTGGTGGAAATTCGACTCTATCTAAACGTCCTTGAGTCACTGTCCGGTTGAAAATTGTATGTTACCACTGAATACGAGGACTGAAGCAGATTTTCTGAAACCACGTGCACCATTCAAACTGGCTGCCTTCAACGTTCGCACATTTATGCAGGTCGGACAACAGATAGGGCTGGCTATGTCTTTGGAAAGTCTTAATATCGACGTGTGTTGTCTATCCGAGACCCGTACTCAAGACTCTGGCGAAGTACTACAAATTCGATCTCCATCTGTCGCTTCGAAAAGCTTGTTTTACGTGCGCTTATCCGGGGACCCTGTGGCATCTTCGTCTGGTCTTGCAGGCGTTGGTGTCGCACTAAGCGCTAGAGCTGAGGCAGCACTAGTCGATTGGATCCCCATCAACAGTCGGTTATGTGCTGTCAGATTAGAAAGTTCCATCAAAGTGAGAAGAAATCGGCGTGAGAAACGATGTCTTTTCGTCATCTCCGCCTATGCCCCGACAGATTGCAGCCCGGATGCAATCAACGATGAGTTTTACCACCAGTTATCAGTTCTTCTCCAGAAAGTGCGTTCGACAGATATTGTAGTACTAGCTGGAGACTTGAATGCTCAGGTCGGGCGTCTAGGCACAGAAGAGAGTCGTTTAGGTGACTGATGGGGAATTGTTGACCGCAAGTCAGATAACGGAGACCGTCTACTGCAACTGTGCACAGACCACAACCTGTTTCTGGCTAGCACTAACTACCGGCACAGTCATCGCTGATGTGCCACCTGGCGTCCTCCCTCTGCATATCAAACCTGGACTCAGATTGATCACATCGCGATCAGCTACCGCTGGCGTGGTTGTGTACAAGACTACCGTTTCTTTTGAAGTACCAATCTGGACTCTGACCATGCCTTGGTCTGCGCTAATCTTACCTTACTTTCCAGTGGCTAACAAATTCATCGATCTAAACAGATCGATGTCAGTAAATTGGTTGCAGCTTCTGCTGCAACTAAATATCAAATCGAGATAGGTTCAAGGCTAGCTACCATCCCACCGAAAAGTACAGATGAGCACTGGTTGCATTTGGATGACGCCATGAAAATGGCGAGTAAAGTCGCTTGCGGCTTCACGAAACGTCCACTTTATAAGCACTGGGTTTCTTCACGCTCCTTACAACTTATTGAAGCCCGTTGGTTTACTCGGTGGACCGTGAGTTTTTCCACAAACGATGACTGTTACGTAACGAAATTGGGCAAAGTTTGCGTAAGGACCGAGAAGCTTGGTGGTCGAGGTGTGCTAATGAGTTGGAAGCAGCAGCTGCATCTGGTAACTGCCGGAAGCTCTTCCAGCTCATCCGAGCCACTGGCAGTAAGAAGTCTGGTGTGAGTGAAACAATCTGCGAGGATGGCGGGATGCCAATCACTAACATCCATCGACGTCTTGGACGATGGGCAGAATTTTTCGAAGGGCAGTTCAACTGGCCTGCTGCTCCGGCAACATCGGTCAGACTGTCCTGTCCTCCATGGCCGGTGACGACTGATCCACCAAATGAGGAGGAAGTCCGCAAGGAACTCCAACTCTTGAAGCGTTACAAATCACCTGGCCCAGATGACTTACCTCCGGCTCTTTTTAAAGATGGTGGTGACTTTTTGACTAAGGAATTGACGACGTTGTTTACAAAGGTTTGGGAACTAGAGAGTGTACCAACGTCATGGAATGAGTCGATAGTTGTCCCTATCTTTAAAAAGGGTTCACGTCGTTCTTGTAACAACTATCGGGGGATAAGTTTACTTCCGATTGCGTCCAAGCTATTGGCTTTCGTCATTCTTCGTAGGTTGTTCAAAACCCAAGAAAGATTGACTCGCGAGGAGCAGGCTGGGTTTCGTTCTGGTCGAGGATGTATTGATCATATCTTCACCCTCCACCAAACGTTAGAACACCGCCATACTCATCAAAGGCCAACAATCGTAGTGTTTCTTGACATCAGGGCTGCCTTCGATTCGTTGGACAGGGTTGTTCTCTGGGATTGTCTATTGAAGAAGGGTGTGCCTGAGAAGTTTATTAACATCCTAAAAGCCCTGTATAAAAACACCTCAGGCAGAGTGAGGGCATACAACCACCTCTCTCCATTGTTCCATTCGAGCAGTGGGGTTACGCAGGGTTGCCCAATCTCACCATTCCTCTTCAACTTTGCCATCCATGACATTCTGGAAACAGCTCTGATGAATGTAAGTAATGGTGGTGTGGATCTGTTGCCTGGAGAAAGACTTCTCGACCTTGAGTATGCGGACGATATTGTCTTACTGTGCGATAATGCCCAAGCCATACAATCCGCACTTAATCAGTTGGCAATCAGTGTCCGTAGGTACGGCATGTGCTTTGCACCTTCGAAGTGCAAAGTACTTCTACAAGACTGGCAGGATTCTAATCCTGTACTCACCCTGGATGGTGAGCAGATAGAAGTAGTCGAGAAGTTCGTGTATCTGGGTAGCTGCATAAGTGCTGGTGGGGGTGTGAGTGATGAGATCAATGGACGTATAATGAAAGCCAGAGCGGCTTATGCCAATCTGGGCCATCTTTGGCGCCTTCGTGATGTTAGTCTGGCTGTAAAAGGCCGGATCTACAACGCGTCGGTGAGAGCACTTTTGCTCTATGCTTGTGAAACCTGGCCTCTCCGAGTTGAGGACGTTAGACGACACTCTGTGTTCGATCATCGCTGTCTCCGAAGGATTGCTGACATTCAGTGGCAACACCATGTCAGTAATGCAGAGGTTCGGCATCGTGTGCTCGGGCACAGAGATGATAACTCAATTGGTGTCACCATCTTGAAACACCGACTTCGGTGGCTTGGACATGTTCTCCGAATGTCGTCCCAGAGAATTCCACGTCGTGCATTATTTGCCGACTCTGGGACTGGTTGGACGAAGCGGAGAGGTGGTCAGTGCATGACATGGTGTCGTGGCATGAAAGAAAGCTGCAAAGGACTGGCTTCTGTTGGTCCTTCACGACTCCCTGGCTGGGGTCCGAGAGATGGTGCTACACAGTGGCTAGAGACGTTATCAGATATGGCTCAGAATAGAAGCCAGTGGCGATCCTGCTGTAACCTTCTTTTACTTTCTTCATAAAAAGTGGTTGTGTCTCCTTTACCTGAAAGATTTCTTCTGATTGTACCTTTTCGTTCCGTCGTTACTACCACACTACCTTACTCCAATCTCTTCGTCATTGTTCTCTTTTTCTTTTGCGTTCCTTAGTTTTTTTTTCTTTCTACTTCTCTTCGAATTCTCATTGTTTTGTGTGGCGCATATATATTGGCGCTCTCTTGTACCAATATTTATGTGTTCAAATAAATATATAAATAAATTTCCGAAGCTCTGAAGAGTTATTGATGAAGAACAATAATTTATAAAAACATATTGTGTGGATTTTTTTTTAGCTTTTCAGAAAGTCAAGTATCGAATACACATTTACAACAGTATATGCTTTAACGATAGGAAAGGAACTATAGGTATAAATGTTATGGAAAAAGTTTATATTCAATTGTGATTTTTATTTAATTTAACATGAACTATAGAAACATTCCAAACAAAAATATTTACAAAAATAGACACTATGCGCATTTACAATTCAATCAAACACATTGAACTACTTACCACAACTTTTACACACAATATATTGTTCTAATGAAGTTTCAACAAGTACTACCTACCTATCAAACATTATTTAGTAGTAATTCCCCAAGTACCTCAAAAAAATTAATATTTTAGTAATAAAAGTAATATATTTGTTAACAATCCTCCCAATACTCAATTAAATTGAAGTTATCGAGTGAAACCTTGATAATGATACCTAAAAACTCATGAAAACCTTTTCACTGAAGAAATAGTAAATGTGTTTGGTTTATATGAAACAAAAAATAAAGCATACAGTGTAGGTCGAGACGCAATTGCATAGATAAAAAAATTAAAATTTTTTACAACAAATGCACTTTTGCCATAGAAATTCATACAGATGTTGAATTTCCATAATTCCCACCACGAACTAATCTTAGTTCAACAACCATTAAGTATCAAGAAGCATTAAATATCTGTTTCGTCCCAATTTGGGACTCCCCAGTAGTATGCACCCATGATTCTAGAAGGGACCGAATTCAAAACCTTAAGGTCTGACAGCAAGTGAATAACCTTTGGACCACTAAGGAAGCACACATTGATATAAATGTATAATTTCAATTAGTCCACAATATTGCATAAACGCCTTTCATTGCTTTCGGCGGGTAACTGCCTCACATGATCACGACAGTCGACGATGGTTGGGCAATATCAAAAACTAGTCGAAGTTAAACATGTATATCATCGGGTATAAAAGTTATGCACTCGCCGTCAGGCCCTAAGGTTATGAATTCCGTCCCCGTTGGGATCATAGGTGCACACAACTGTGGAGTACCAAATTGGGATGAAACAGATATTTAGTACTTTCTGATTCCTAGTGGTTGTCGAACTAAGATTAGTTCGTAATGTAAACTGTGAAAACCACTCTTAAATTACCTTGTTACGGTAAAGTAGCACGTTATACGAAGATTGAAATGACTTATCAGTTTCGGGTATAAATTTGTTAATATAGCGCCTTTAAGTTGTGAAGAATTTCAAATAAATGGATATAAAAAAAGAACAAACGTCACAAAATCATTGCACCCCGATAAATTCAAATACAGCAATGTAATTGAGATTAAAAGTAAGTAACCTAGTGGTAAGAAAAAAATGGATTTATTCACCAAGTACTTGGGTATGAGCCATACTTTAAAGTTGGCATATTTCGTAACATTTTATAATCCCTGAGTAATAAGACCGATATCATAAATCACTCCAAGAAATGACTGAGAACTATAGTTTACACTATAAGATATAAAAATTGAGAATTTCTGGGCTCTGAAGAAAGACAAATATACGTAAGATAAAATGTAGTTCGTCTGTTTATTAAAAACGTGTATAGGTGTGGATAGTGTTCAAATACCAATGAATCTTATTACTGATCTTAATTCTTTTGAATAACATAGTTACTTATTAGCATATTTACGTGTTTTAAGAGCGTAACAGCATTTATATGAGTACGAATTTTCACCATTTGATCGTATTAGCAGATCGGTTGTTGATTCAGATGTTGCATATAGTAAAATTACACATGGTTAAGTATAAAGGTTTTATTCTAAAACAACCAACTTTTATGTTTGAGTAAAACGATAGTTATCGAATTTTCCAGGTAACATCTAGTGTTAGTCGTTTAAAGGATTATACTACATAGGCAAGTTTATTTATTCACTCCGAAGATGTCGCGAATAGCTCTCACTCAAAAAGAACCTATTTGGTAAATATCAGAAAACTACATACGTGTACTATTCACTAGGTAAATTCAAAACTATGTTGACAAATCTTAAAAGATTATTGTAAAACTGTACGTTAACTCACTTTCAAAAAGACATGGAAGTGAAGTACTCAGAAATACTTGTGGAGTATTACTGGATCCTTTCAAATTTTTTTCATCAGTTAGGTTTGAATTTGAAAAACCAAGCGAAACATCAGTTTTCGGCTGACTCTTAATAAACCTACTTGGTGTAACGTTCTGTTGTCCAGTTATACACTTTAGGGAATCTGTTAGAACAGAAGGTATATATTTCAGTAAATACATGAATAATGCTTGAAGTATATTTCATATTAAACTTTACAGATTATGCAGTAGACAGGTACTACAATTTTATGAGGAATATCTATGTAATTAATAAACATAAGTCTCATTAATTTCAGATAAAGACTTATCAAAATTGTAGTTGGTTGCAAAGTTTTAATTATTAATCCTGAGAAAATGTTGTAAACTGCGTAGACGCTAATTGTTATGACGAGTAGTACGATTCCATGGTTTTCTTAACTATAATGACTATTTTTATTATTATGCAGAAAAGGTCTACACATCTCATCATGTGGTTGATAACGTACAACTTTCCGTTTACACCAGACTAGAACTGGAGTCATTTCACCACAGAATGATGTGCAATAGTAAATAACCAAGCACACTTGAATTTTCTACGCAATCCAACTATTCCACTTCTGTTGTGATATAAAATTTGTATACTAAATTTACACTATATCATACATCAAAAAAGCATCACTCATCAAGGTAGGCTGTGGTTGGGTATACATGACACATGTCCCAACCACTTCAATTAAAGTATTAGACTTTCAACCAACAGATCGAGAATATAAACAGGTTCTAACCACTTATGACTGAAAATCTGAGTGGAATTGGTAAGCTTCATACAATGTATGGCTTAAAGCCGAGTACACAAAACTCGTGCTTGATCAATGAGTCACATCATCATATCTTTTAACATTAATCAGACATTTTTCTCTCTTTAGGAACTTATAAAAATACAAGTTTGTCGAAAAAGTTGTCTAATTTTTCAAATCATTACTCTAAATTACAGCAGCCAGAGAAATCAAAATCAAGTGACGATGTGGCTAGTAAAATACCATGGAGAATCTGATCTATACACTACATGGAGCATATATTCCTTAATTCAAGACAAATGACTTGTGTGCAGGCCCAAATCAGTATGGTACAAAGATTATGACACACTGGAACCAAAGAGAAAATTTATAGAAAATTTTCTAGTAACTGTAGGTGACAATGATAAGCGATCATGCTGTTTTGTATTTTGTAATCTTATATATACATATTGTAATTTCAAGAGACATAGGAAGTGTTTATTCATGAAGAGGTTTAGTGATTTTCTATGACGTTCAAATATCAACATAAAAACCCAAATATGATTCAAACTTGTTAAGGAATCTTCTCCGTAAGTATTACAGATCGTTTGGAAGGACGTGTTAATTGGAAATATTAATAAACTGTAGTGAACAGTGCACCATTTGTTTTAAGATATTAAGAAATGTTTATAGATGGGAAAACTATCAGTCAAACTATTGACATAGGAAATGACAGCATTCAACAAAAATTTGCGAGCAGGTTTGTCGAGAAAGTTTTGTTGCAGGTATATGAGGAGACGGCTAAAGCACCCATCCCAACTCCTAACAATCTGGATAGATTCACATTAGATCAGTTGAGAAACCTGTTTATATATGTTAGATCTGTGAATTTACGTAAATATTGATGAGAAAAATCTCGAAAATGAACGGAACTCATTATTAACGTTCCCAAGGGTTTTGATAAAAAAATATGTAAACGTTAGCAAACTGAATATTTTATAAAAAAAAGGAGAATTACCGTCGTCTGGATTAGTAGCTGAGGAATCTTCATTTGACTTTGAAGTTGAAGCCATTTCTTCATTGTTCGCTTTCTTCAGAATCCATGTGGTCGACTGGCTGAAAGCACAGTAGAGTTGACGGTAATCCCAACTGAAATTCACGAACGAATTAAGATCAACAAACGCAGTGATTCCTCAAGAAGTCCACAATATATTAAAATTAAAAGATGAGACTAATTTATAGGCGAATCAATCATACATGTTTAGAATGCGCTTCTCTCCCTCTAAATGTAAGTTGTTGCTTCAGGACTGGCCTGCGTCAACACTTGAACTAAGGATAGGGAGTGAAGTAGTCGAACGCGTCGACAACTTCACTTATCTTGGAAATCTGATCAGCCCTAATGGGTTGGTATCGGACGAAATCTCAGCACGGATTCGAAAAGCTCGTTTGGCTTTTGCCAACTTACGTCACCTATGGCGATGGCGAGATATCCGTCTATCAATAAAAGGACGAGTATACTGCGCGGCAGTCCTTTCTGTTTTACTTTACGGCAGCGAAACATAGCCATTAAGAGTAGAAGACACCCGTAAGCTACTAGTATTTGACCACAGATGCCTTAGAAATATTGCTGGCGTCTGCTGAGAACACCGGGTAAGTAATAGTGAGGTTCAACGCAGGATATTAGGGAATGATGGTAAATCAGTTGATGAGGTTGTTAATATTCATCGACTGAGATGGTTGGGTCACGTGTTACGTATGCCCGAACACCGGTTACCACGACGTGCAATGCTATCCGGTATTGGAAATGGTTGGAAGAAAGTTAGGGGCGGCCAAACCAAAACGTGGCATCAATGCTTGAAGTCACTAACTTCTAGTCTGAGCCATGTTGGTAGATGCAGACTATTTGGTTGGGGTCCGTGTGACTATCGTAAACCATGGTTGGAGACTCTTGGTGACATGGCTCAGAATCGATCACAATGGCGTCGGTGTATACATTCTCTGTCTTCCCTTAAACTAAGAGATTAAAATCACTCCATATCTTTCTTTCTACTAACTAATTCTTTCTTCCTGTACTGTATGCTTATATGCAATCTTTCTCCTATATATATCCACCTTTGACCTAACCACTCATATGAATCCGGTGTTCATCCTGCTGCGCTAATGAGGTATGGCAACCTGGACCGATGCATATTTGTGCCTGGTCCTACGTTGTAGCTGACTGACTGATTTAGCTAAATAGTGTTTTGGCATTTTACCTAACGTCAGTTTGTGATGAAAACCCTAAATTTAACTAACTGTAATCATCAACTGTAAATTATAATCCTTATTTCCACCAAATGCTCTGGTATGGCCGAGAGTGGGAAGGGCCCGCCCTCCCTCTCGAAATGCCCTTACATGGCCAGGTGTACACAGTCTCTGCCATGGAAGTCCTACTCACTGACTTCTCGTGGCGGGGGTGTTGTTTACGAAAATGAGAGGACGAAAAGCGAGTGTCCGGAGCTTTAACCGGATTCCAAACAAATGGTGCACATGGGCTCCAGTATCCTGCGGGGACAAATGGCGTATGAACCAATCGTTGGTCACCGGCTACCATGGGACTGCATCTCCTCACGATGCCCCACTGCCTTGTGGGTTAGACCTTTAGGTCAAAGGCTCGGGGTGTGGCCCCCTAAGATAACCACCTGCTTCAGTCTGGGCAACCGGGTAGTATCACAGCCCACACACAAATATGATGAACTGCCTATAATTATGGAAACTACTTTACTTGCTTCAACTAACAATCAAATGATTCAAATTATTATTATTATTATTATCACGATCATTTACCACATTATTCACCCTCTTTTATACTTATACAGCGGCTCGTCTTTGGTGGAAATTCGACTCTATCTAAACGTCCTTGAGTCACTGTCCGGTTGAAAATTGTATGTTACCACTGAATACGAGGACTGAAGCAGATTTTCTGAAACCACGTGCACCATTCAAACTGGCTGCCTTCAACGTTCGCACATTTATGCAGGTCGGACAACAGATAGGGCTGGCTATGTCTTTGGAAAGTCTTAATATCGACGTGTGTTGTCTATCCGAGACCCGTACTCAAGACTCTGGCGAAGTACTACAAATTCGATCTCCATCTGTCGCTTCGAAAAGCTTGTTTTACGTGCGCTTATCCGGGGACCCTGTGGCATCTTCGTCTGGTCTCGCTGGCGTTGGTGTCGCACTAAGCGCTACAACTGAGGCAGCACTAGTCGATTGGATCCCCATCAACAGTCGGTTATGTGCTGTCAAATTACAAAGTCCTATCAAAGTAAGAAGAAATCAGTGTGAGAAACAATGGTCTATCGTCATCTCCGCCTGTGCCCCGACAGATTGCAGCCCGGACGCAATCAACGATGAATTCTACCATCAGTTAACAGTTCTTTTACAGAAAGTGCGTTCGACAGATATGGTAGTACTAGCTGGAGACTTGAATGCTCAGGTCGGGCGTCTAGGCACAGAAGAGAGTCGTTTAGGTGACTGATGGGGAATTGTTGACCGCAAGTCAGATAACGGAGACCGTCTACTGCAACTGTGCACAGACCACAACCTGTTTCTGGCTAGCACTAACTACCGGCACAGTCATCGCTGATGTGCCACCTGGCGTCCTCCCTCTGCATATCAAACCTGGACTCAGATTGATCACATCGCGATCAGTTACCGCTGGCGTGGTTGTGTACAAGACTACCGTTTCTTTTGAAGTACCAATCTGGACTCTGACCATGCCTTGGTCTGCGCTAATCTTACCTTACTTTCCAGTGGCTAACAAATTCATCGATCTAAACAGATCGATGTCAGTAAATTGGTTGCAGCTTCTGCTGCAACTAAATATCAAATCGAGATAGGTTCAAGGCTAGCTACCATCCCACCGAAAAGTACAGATGAGCACTGGTTGCATTTGGATGACGCCATGAAAATGGCGAGTAAAGTCGCTTGCGGCTTCACGAAACGTCCACTTTATAAGCACTGGGTTTCTTCACGCTCCTTACAACTTATTGAAGCCCGTTGGTTTACTCGGTGGACCGTGAGTTTTTCCACAAACGATGACTGTTACGTAACGAAATTGGGCAAAGTTTGCGTAAGGACCGAGAAGCTTGGTGGTCGAGGTGTGCTAATGAGTTGGAAGCAGCAGCTACATCTGGTGACTACCGGAAGCTCTTCCAACTCATCCGAGCCACTGGCAGCAGGAAGTCTGGTGTGAGCGAAACAATCTGTGAGGATGATGGGATGCCAATCACTAACACCCATCGATGTCTCGGACGACGGGCAGAGTTCTTCGAAGGGCAGTTCAACTGGTCTGCTGCTCCGGCAACATCGATCAGACTGTCCTGCCCTCCAAGGCCTGTGTCGACTAATCCATCGAATGAGGCGGAAGTCCACAAAGAACTCCAACTCTTGGAGCGCTAAAAATCACCGGGCCCAGATGACCTACCTCCGACATTTCTTAAAGATGGTGGTGACCTTCTGGTTAAGGAACTGACTGCGTTGTTTACAAAGTTTTGGGAGTTAGAGAGTGTTTCAACATCGTGCAATCAGTCCCTAACTTTAAAAAGGGTTCACGCAGTCTCTGTAACAACTGTCGAGGAATAAGTCCACTTCCGATTGCGTCCGAATTATTGGCTTCCGTCATACTTCATAGATCGTTCAAAACCCAAGAAAGATTGACTCGCGAAGAGCAGGCTGGTTTTCCTTCTGGTCGAGGATGTATTGATCATATCTTCACCCTCCACCAAACGTTAGAACACTGTCATACTTATCAAAGGCCAACAATCGTAGTGTATCTTGACATCAGGGCTGCCTTCGATTCGCTGGACAGGAATGTTCTCTGGGAGTGTCTATTGCAGAAGGGTGTGTCTGAGAAGTCTATTGACAGCTTAAAAGCCCTATATACAAACACCTCCGACAGAGTGAGGACATACAACCTCCTCTCTCCATTGTTCCGTTCACACAGTGAGGTTAGGTAGAGTTGCCCAATCTCACCATTCCTCTTCAACTTTGCTATCGATGACCTGGAAACAGCTCTTATGGATGTTAGTCAGTCATCAACAACGTAGAACTTCGTATGTACGTACATCAGTTCATGTTGCCATACCACGTTAGCATACAGATACAATTATCGATTCAAATCCCATAGTGGTAAAGGTAGTAAAAGTATAAGTAGTAATCAGAAACATTTGGATCTGAAGATGTTATTCAAAGATTACAATCCAGTGAAATCAATTTGGAAAGAGAAAAAGCAGAGAGGGATATGAAGAATTCAGAAGATTAGAATTTTGGATAACATAAAGAGTGGATGCACCCGCGCCATTGCAAACGATTTTATGCCATGTCATTCAAGGTCTCTAACCACCGGTTGCTATCGTCTCGCAGATCGAAACCAGGTAGTCTACACCTACCAACATGACTCAGTTCACTTGTCAGTGACTTAATGGATTTGTGCTACGTTTTGGTCTGGTCGCCCCTAGCTTTCTGCCAACCTACTCCTACATCATAAAACATCGCCCATCGGGCATACGTAACACGTGCCCCAGCCATCTCAACTGATGAAGTTTCACTTCTTCATTAATTGATTTGTCATCCTTACCTAGTACTCGTTTCCTAACAACTGCATTACTTACTCGGTGGTCCCAGGATATACGAGCAATGCTTCGAAGACACCTATAATCGAATACTAGTAACCTACGAATACTCTCCACTCTTACCGGCCACGTTTCACTGCCATAAAGTAGGACGGAACGAACTGCTGCACAGTAAACTCGTCTTTTGGTTGGTAGACGAATATCTTGCCTACGCCATAAATGATGCAAGTTGGCACAAGCTAGTCGAGCCCTCTGTATCCGTGCCGATGGATGTAAGTAATGGCTGTGAATCCGTTGCCTGGAGAAAGACTACTCGACCTTGAGTATGCGGACGATATTGTCTTACTGTGCGATAATGCCCAAGCCATACAATTCGCACTTAATCAGTTGGTAATCAATGTCCGTAGGTACGGCATGTGCTTTGCACCTTCGAAGTGCAAAGTACTTCTACAAGACTGGCAGGACCCTGATCCTACACTCACCCTGGGTAGTGAGCAGATAGAAGTAGTCAAGAAGTTCGTGTATCTAGGTAGCTGCATAAGTGCTGGTGGTGGCGTGAGTGATGAGATCAATGGACGTATAATGAAAGCCAGAGCGGCTTATGCCAATCTGGGCCATCTTTGGCGCCTTCGTGATGTTAGTCTGGCTGTAAAAGGCCGGATCTACAACGCGTCGGTGAGAGCACTTTTGCTCTATGCTTGTGAAACCTGGCCTCTCCGAGTTGAGGATGTTAGGCGACTCTGTGTTTGATCACCGTTGTCTCTGAAGGATTGCCGACATCCAGTGGCAACACCATGTTAGTAATGCAGAGGTTCGGCATCTTGTGTTCGGGCACAGAGATGATATTGCAATCGATGTCATCATCTTGAAACATCGACTTCGGTGGCTTGGACATGTTCTACGAATGTCGTCCCAGAGAATTCCACGTCGTGCATTATTTGCCGACGCTGGGACTGGTTGGAAGAGGCGGAGAGGTGGTCAGTGTATGACATGGTGTCGTGGTAAAAAGAAAGATGTACAGAACTGGCTTCTGTCGGTCTTTCACGTTTCCCTGGTTGGGGTTCGACAGATAGCGCGACACAGTAGCCAGAGACGCTATCACATATGGCTCAGAATAGAAGCCAGTAGCGATCCTGATGTAACCTTCTTATACTTTCTTCATAAAAAGTGGTTGTATCTTCCTTAACTGAAAGATTTCTTCTGGTTGAACCTTTCCGTTTCCCCCGTCATTATTATTATTAGACTACCTTACACTAATCTGGTCGTTATTGTTCTTTTTTTCTTTTACACTCCTTACCTTTTTTCTTCTCCCCATTCTCATTGTTTTGTGTAGCGCATATATATTTGGTGCCCCCTTGTAACAATATTTGTGTTGAAATAAATAAATGAAAATCTTATACTTCATACAGATTTATGGCCCTTATTTAACCTTAGTAAGTAAATGGACATTCTCAAAGTCACCCTAGCGTCGCTCAAATGTCGTCAATAAATTATAGTCTCACTGAAAACTGTTTGTCAAAGAATAGTGGTGTCAAGTTTCGGTGAGGTAATAAAACCCTAATGACTATAAACAAGAGGCTATGTGAAGCTGATAGTGAATCTACTAAGTATCATGCTATATCATATAACTGTAAGCAACATTCTACTCATATATACATATACATCAATGGATAGAATAGCGATATTAGATTTATCTATCCTCGTTTAATTTAAACATGAAATAAAGATATTTGCTGATATCAGTGACCATCACACTATAAGGAAATCTCTGGATCAAAAACGGCTTCTTGATAACAGGGGCCATCTGACATATATGTCATTGGTAAGTGGTTAGCGTATGATCTATCTCATGTATGTGTCGTTCGGGAGATGTCAGGTAACACATCTGTGATTACTGTTGGCAATTGATGGCAGCATAAAAAGACTGTATCTTGCAAAAAACAACTCACACTTTTCTACCTAAAGTTACAAGTTTTTGTGGATCAACTGTCCAAATGTCGGGCCTGAGTGGTGAACAGTGAGCAAGTATATCGAAAAGACGACAGACAAGTACTCAATGAATTGCAATTTATACCTTCCGGTCCAGTCATGATTAAAATGTGTCGCAATGTGAAATACCCGAAATAACTCTTAGAGTCAATCTCGAGTTAGTTATTGAAATAATCACTAAAACAGCAACCCGTCATTCTAACATTATTGAAAAGTTTTTGAATCTCGGCTAATAATGCCAAGTCGATAAAGCAGCTCTGAAAAATCACCATTCATGTGTATGAAGTTGTTATTAATAAACGTCTACACAGGAACGCAAGGTATATTTATGGTAGTTATATTATCACATGGATTAGGCCAAAGTCCAAGAGTAGTTCTTAGTAATGCAACGTAGTGAACCAGTGTTCTGTGAAGCAGCAAGTGGTGATCTAAACAGTCGGCACACCCGTGGCCCAAAGAACCAGAGAAGCAATGGTCGCGTGATCGACTAGAATTCTCAGGAATCTCCCGACTTTAAAAACGAAGTCGACCAACTCCCAATAGAATAAACGTAAGTTGTTTCAAAAACCATGGAGTTAGGTTACGCGATAATACTTATTTAACATATTAAAAACTTTTTCATGGTGAAGAATGCTAAATACTTACTGAAGAAGCAAAAGTAAATCCCTTTATGAGTGTACACTAAAGATATGTTCCGAAACATTTAAAAAATTGCGGAATCGACCTTGACACTGTGCTCATCGTATTATGATTTCAGGTTTGTGTAGTAAGGACAGAAAGCCTACGGCCTATGTTATGCCTTATCTAGTATGCTTCTGTGAGTTTCCAGTCTTCTCTTGAAAGAGTCAACTGAAGGTGCGGACACCACTGCTTCGGACAGAAGGTTCCAAGCATTGATGACTCGGTTTGAAAACCTGTGTGCCACGAGTATTTTTGTTCGTTCTTGGTTTTTCTACTCGCCTGATATGTCCTCTGAGATGTCCAGATCTAGTGGGAAGAAAAAGAGAATAAGTTAGGTTCAAAATAATTTCTCAGTATTCTGTACATTGTATTTTATGTTATGAATGGTCTCATGTTGTTGTGCACTGACTAATAAAGCTCTCACTGAACGGACTTCTGTATTGTAAGGCAACGAACCACAGATTTTTTCATGTAGGGGCCCGGCTACATAAAATGTTAAAACCAGCCAATCAATTTTAAGACAACTGAATAAATCTTGTAGGAAATATCACGTGCATTTCAAAAAGCTTAAAGAACGTTTCCCTAACTACTCCATAGATAAATAAATCCTTCTTAACCTGTTTTATTGTGTCATGGTACCCAGGGTTCAGTACTAGAACCACTTCTTTTCTTGATTTATATAAACGACTTTCCACAAAAGGTATCGTCCAAAATATTGCTTTTTGCTGATGATGTGAAACTTTGTAGAGAGATACGCAACCAAGAGGACATACTGGCACTTCGGGAGGATCTGAATCGACTCCAGAGTTGGACAGACGACAACGGACTTACCTTTAGCATTTCAAAGTGTGAAGTAGTCCATCTGCGACATGTCGCAGACTACAGTAACAACTTAAAAAACTTCTCTCTAGTAGTGTCCCGAGTCGAAAAAGAGTTATGAGTGTTTGGTACCCTGCGATTTGAAGTCTTACGCTAACTTTGACAAAAATGCCTTTCGAGAAAACCTTGCACTGGTAACATTGAAGAGCATTTTTCGCCAGTTTGACGGGAGAACTCTCAACATAATCTTCAACAGTTTTATTCCCCCCCATTTAGATTACGGAGAAATAATATTTCCTCCCTCACTCCAAAAGGATAAGGACACTCTGAAGCGTATCCAACGGCGAGCCACGAAACCAGTTCGGGGACTGAAATTCAAGCCTTATGAAGAGCGCCTTCAATCACTGGACCTTTACTCATTAGAGAACAAGTGTCTTAGGGGTGACCTAATTGCTTACAGTATCTTAAAAACTCCTGGATATCCTCTTAAACACTTACTTAGGTTTAGTTCCAACACAAACCTAAAGATTAACACCCAGAAACTAGAGACACGACTCAGCAGAACGGACTGTAGACACAACTTCTACTCCGTCAGAGTTGTCGAATGCCGGAATTCGCTGCCAACCTAATTAGTTCAAGAGGCTTCTCAGGAGTCCTTTAAGAGGAAACTTGACCTATTCTTATGGACTGAGGATAACATTTTATTGTGAGTTACCAATTTCATTTTCTTTCTAACCTATTATGGTTAATAAACCTAGGTTCCTGCCTGGAGTAATTGGTGATCCTCTGCTACTAGACGCAGGAGCCTGTTGGGCGAAAGCTTCTTCTATTCCGTCCGCAGCCATCTGAACCATTTTGAACCATTTGGTGTAGATAATAATGTGAATTCCACGTAAGATCTTATAGATTAGGCAGTTACATCATGACAAATCTACAATTATAGGACTAAGTTTATTATTGAAGCAGTACTAATAACGAAGTTGACTATAATTCTACATTGGTAAGCCCGACTAAGGAAATGCAATGTATTATTGTTAATCCTTATTTTCATTTTAACCTTATCGATCGATTTTTACTTATTTTAACGCAGATCCTATTAATCCTCTGATTATTGCTCACGTGTATTATCATATTGCAATACTGATTACTACTCATAACTTATTATCTCAATGGATAATAATAACTGGTAACTTATATTAATTATTAGCTAAGATAGTTACTTAACAAACTTTAATAGCATCTACATGTTTCAGCAAAATAGACTTGTTATAATATCAAGCTTTCGCAAATACGACCTATAGATGACGTAAATATACATCGACTAGCAACGGAAGCAAGGACTGAATGGTTTTCTGAACCTAATCATATTCTTTCTTCTCGTAATGTTTCATTTTATTTTAAACTATGGACTATCCTGTAATATCTTTTCTTCCAACCACCGCCTGCCTAGTTTTCAATTGATGATTTCCATGGCAAAACAGAGGATACGAATGCTATAAATTTACGGTGAGTTTGAACCATAAATCTCCTGGAATCTCTGATCTCGTTTAGACTGTTCGTCAGGCAGTGCCACGTGTTTGGCTTCAATTAATTTTGGACTTATACGAATTCAGTCTTCAATGCTAGGTTAATCCAAGAATTTTATCAACAGTACGTCGTATACAACCCAGATTCGAACTACTGTCTAATTCAAGTTTTCATTAATTGGAATCGAAAACATCCCAGGCGAGTTTTATTTTTTCCCTATCTTGGTTAGTTTACTATGTTTTTAGCACTTCTCAACTTACACAATTTTTTTTCATTCTGACTGGTTGTACACATTTCATGCGAGCCACACCCAACACTTGGTAGAAGTATTTAATACTTTTATACTACGACATACTATTAAGAAAACCTGTGTTGTGCAAAATCATCTTTTAGTTTTAGTTGCCTTTGCCACACATTTATAAATATCACTAGGTTAACGACAGCAGCTTCTTATGGAAGGTTAATAACTCGTCATATTCCTAACTGAAATTTCATAAGTTGTCTGAATTTTAAAAATATCTTTCATTTTGGCCATGTTTATAATTTTTAGATTGTCATATACTTCACCAACCTGCTTTACATTATGTCTCTATGTGTTTTAAAATTTAAATATCATTTAAATCGCCTTTAACATTTTTCAATGAATACATTATAGTGGTTATCGCTATACGTATTTTGGTTTAGGAATTGGTCAATCACATTAGTAGCATAAAAAGACTAACATAGTTTAGATAATAAAGTATTATCAATCGCACTAGTATAATAACTAAACTCTCAGGTAGTTGTTGGCTAAACAAACATTTAAAATAAAAATCCGGAACCTATTACTAAAATCAACACTAGACGAATATTTTTGAATTGACATTTATAACATAAATGGGCATCTCGGATTCTTTAACGTTACAAACTTCTGCTATTTCATAAGAACATAAAACAATACCTATTTTCAACTGGCTACTCGTCAATAAACATTATAACTAGTTGGATATAATGGTTTCAGGAATATCGTCATAAAGCATTGTCATGACTTGACAGTCACGTAATACGATTGGTAAAATTAATGAAACCATTGACAAAATCTGTCAACACATTGACTTATAATTATGATTAAATAGTGTTGTTTTTTTCTTTTATCTCCATTCACTACAGATGATTACAGTATGTTTCTCTATCAGTTACTCACTCAGTAAATATCTCAAAACCTTGTCAGTCTAATTGGAGGTTTAGCGACACAGTCATACATGCAAATCATCAATATAAGCAGTCGAGCAAATCTCCTACAAACTTAAAACATCAATGTCGAATTTACCCCAAAACTGACTAAGGATCAAGCTATTAACATCGACATGGGTTAGGAGTGTACTCCCCTTGGTTACAACTTACGTTTTCCCTGACAATCATATGAGCATCACTCACCTTTTAAAGACTTATTTAGCCTATAATTGCGGCACATAAGCTTAGTTGATTCCGACGACTTATAATCACCATATCTCAATCAAATCGTATTCCCTCTTATACTAAACTGACGCTGCAACTAACTTCATGTACTAATAGTTGGCTGGTAGTAATATAAATAAATAGTCTATGGCAAATCAGAACATTGAGTCTAGAGTATGTCTCTTACGAATACACTCATATTTAACGAATTGCTGTTAGATATCTGTCGAAATTTACATAATTACCAACTTTCACGTATCAAAATCAGTTTTTGATAACCATTCATATGTATTAGTAATATTACTAAATTCTATCACGGCCAAGTAAAACTGAGGCCGATAAAGCCTCTCTGTAACTAAATAAATAATATCAAACTAACTGGAACACTAGTTGGAATTCTCCACGGTAATACGTTTGTTCTTTCAGTTGGCCTACTAATACAGATGCGATTGGAAACAACTCATATGGACAGTTAACTGGCATAAACGTTATTTGATTTCATAGTTTAAACCAATAGTAGTACCAACATTAACATTTTTACAATAATGGTTGTTTTCAATGTTTCTAAACACAAAATATGCGCCACTTATAAGTTAACACGCATCTTACGACGATTTATTAAAATATCCCTGCACGGAATCATTTTATTATTATCTCAATTTTAGCCCAAATAATCTTCACTCAACTTTTCATTTTAAGCGTACTAAGCAATAAACCAAATATTTTAAAATTATTACATGTACTTCCCGACTAGATGCTGTTGCCTTGTTTCTGATTTGTCTTTCAGCTTATCAATGCCCGGAGGATCTTATTATTCTCAGTAACCTGTGGCGCGCGACAACCCCACCCAAAATGATATCAAACCAACTTCACGTTGATTCTGTCGGGAGAACAGTGTAGTAGCATTGGGCCCCAACTACACAATCCTCAAAGCTGAACACGAGACAATCAGGGAAATAGATATTCAACATTCAATGCGGAGAAAAACCCGACGATGAGGAAGGCAGAAGCAATGAATTTAATGAACTAGAATTGATCGGATGGCATGGCTCGGCCTTGCAGGCGTGGTCACTGTTAAACGTTATCTTATGTCTCTTATCCGTATTAAAGAAATCGTTCTATCTCTGGCTTAAGTGTTTCCTTCATCATATATTGATGGTTGTTACGATGCGATGGGTTGGTGTAGATAGTAATGTGAATTCCATGTAAGATCTTACAGATTAGGCAGTTACATCATGACAA